CTTCCGGTCCATTCTGTGCCAATCCACCAGTTGTGATTGGTTCCACAGTTCAGCCACTCAGTGTGTTTTATTTTTATGCTAAATTAGGATCCCTTCAACTCATAGAAATACCAGTTTTGATCAGGATAGATCAGGGTTTGTCATCTGAGCAATGAAGTTTGGAAATAAATCAGACCGACTTATGATGAGAGGTTCAAAACCAAAACATAAGAGCAAGGCGTCTTTATTTTTGTTTTAATGCGGTAGGAGGACTAAAAAAAGAAATCTAAAATTAAATACGTTCATAAGAAAAGAAAATGGCACAATAACTGGAAAGAGTTGTTTAAATCCATAATTAAATGCGTCAAACAAAAGGAATATTACAAAGAACGTATAAAAGTAATGACAGGTCAGTGTTGGTACTTTGTTTTTTAAAGTACACAGATTTTCTTGCGCTGTCTAAATACCTGTGAAAGCTGTAATACTCCATCGTGGAGTACACGGAACGGGATTATAATCCTGCATTACTAAGGACCCTGGTGAGCGGGAGGTCACGTGGGTTTGTTAAAGGAATTAAGATTTGACTCAACATTTCCCGCTCTTTAGGCGAAGCTCCACTGATCCAGAAATATCCTCCCATCAAAAGGGATAAAAAAGTAAAAAGTGTGGAGCAATGTGGAAGCGGAGCACAGAGGCAGGTCTATAAATAGGGCTCTCTCCCTGCAGCCTGACACTGAGTGCAGCTCAGACATCGATGTGACATCCTCTCAGCTCCACAGACTCTGGTTGGTCCGTGCTGCAGCAGCCAGCTCAGACTGGGAGAGAGCCTGATTCATCACTTTTAGTTCCGGCTTCGTAAACACGTGACATGTTATTACACAGTGACTTCTGACATATCTGCTAATCCCAGGTGTCTGTCGGCTCCATCATTAGTCACGAACAGTAAAAATATATATTTGTACTTGGTCGGACTTTTCATCCAGCTGCCATCGTGTTGTGCATTTACTGTAGATTTACCGACTGTTTCAGGCATGGAGACAGCTGCTGTGCATGACTGCTGCAAGGATGCAACAATGAATTATTCAGACTAACATTTAGACTTTTGTATTATTTATATTAGAATCACCACAGTGCTAAGATGAAAGTTTTATGGCACTGTTTTATTTTTTTCCCAATACAAAATCTTTTGCAGCCAATGGAAAACCTTGATATCCAAAGGGTTTTTTACCATGGGAGTGTGGTACACCACTGTTCTGTATTACTGCAAATGAAAGGTAGTACAATCCAAGTACTGTATGGCGTACTCCTGAAACCAGTTGGTGAATTTTGATGCCTTATATCAGAGTGATGGAACAGGACTTCTCTGATAAATTTATATGAGATAGTGACGGGACCAACGAATGCCGAAGGTCGAGGAAATAATAATATAAGGATACACTGTTGTTAGCTTTATTAGCTTCTGATTGTACTCATCTATGCATGCCTTCTTTTTATTCTTTATCTACCTAACCTGCTGTAACAGCTTTACCTCTCTGTTAAACCCACTTGTTGACTTCCAGACTCGGCCTTTGCCACATTTCTCGCTCCACAGTCTCCCTAATCCCTGATCTTTCCACTGTTTTTCTCCCTCCTTCCTCTGATTTCTACACCGTTTCAGCACCTTTCCTTCCCCACATTAACTGTTCCTGCCGAGTACTCTAGTATCTTCTTACTACAGTAACCTCATGTGCTTGTCGTACACGTTCCAAGGCTTTGCGTTACATGATTCGACCACGCATCTCTAACTTGTCTTCCCAACTTCATGATTTGTATGAATAGAATTTAGAAATTCAGAACACAATGGAATAGAACATTAGCACTCAGACAGGGAGGGCAGAGAAACAAGAGCAGTTGTACACAGAAGTTATAACTTGGTATTAGGCAAAGTAATGTGCTGTTGCATGGTAACCGTTTCCACAGAAATCCTGCTCAGAAGCAGCTCTTTGGTCTTTATATAACAGGAGAAAAAAATGACTGCAGCAGTACAAATGGTTTCATGAAGACGTTGGCTTTGCTGCGGTTAAGAATCTTTGGTGGCAGTGATTCAATAGTACTAGTAAAACAAACAGGAAAGGAAGCATTTAGACTTTAGGTAATGGAGCTAAGGTTAGCTACATTTTGGCTAACCTTGTTATTGAACGCTTGGGGTTTAGACCCAAATGCACCACAAAGAGACACATTATATATATATACATTTATATTATATAAATTGATGTGATCTGCAATTTTAAAAAAATGTTTGGGCTAATTTAAGTTTTTCTTTTAAGGCTATCACATTGACGAACCTTTGGTAAAATCCAGTCTTTTAGCAACAATTTAGTTCATGTTACTCCAGGTATAAAACACTTAATGGTGAGTAGAGTCTTTTTTCATTGGCTGATGACGATGTTGACCTTTGATAGCCTAGGCTTTTAACATTTCATGTCTCATGTTCTTGTTAAGTCCTTGTTAAGTTCTTGCCAAGAGTATAATCCAATATTCTTTTCAATAACCAGGAAATATAAAGATAAACTGAGTCAGGAACATGTTATTTGGACATTGGTCTGAAGTCTTTTTGTGGTTGCTGATTCCCCTTCAGGAGTTATAAATATTGTCACCAGGCTGTTCTGTCTTCTTTAGAGACTGTTGTTTCTTCTCCAGATAACACTGTGGTCTGGTCATTATCAGATCATTAATATTCTTCCTCCTCTTTATCCTCTCATTCTTCCTGCGTACAGTAACACTCTCATCCTCAGCGACATCAATCGATTCTCCTCCAAATCTTTGGCGGCCCTGTGGTTCAGCTTGATATAATTGGAGTTAATGCTGATCTGGTCACAGACAGTAGTGCTGTGTCACAGTGAACCACAGCAGCTCGGGCCTTTTCTGCTTTCTGCAGTATCATGCCTCCTCCCGTCCTCATTACTGAAACGTCTATTTTTGCAGCACAATCAGAGAAGGGCTGAAAAGCAAAATGCCTTTGGATAAAATCCTAAGCAGAAATTTACAGTATCCAAAATATATCTGTCTGTGTTTCTTTTTAACATTCTCTCTTTTTACCATCAAGACTGAACCATTGTATTTCCTCACTATCCTTCAGCTGCTATAGCTAAGGCTCAATCTGTCTGTCTGTCTAATAATAATAATAATACATTTTATTTCATAGGTGCCTTTCTGTCACCCAAAGACACCTTACAGTGAATACAGAGATAACAACACAGCAGTCTATCCATCTATCTATACAGTAATGGTAATGTGGTCTTAAACTGACGTTCTAGATTTTCGTAGACTACTGCGCCCTCTTATGGACAAAATCTATATTGACAAACTATAGGTAACGTATATGGGTTTTGTTTTTTTTGGTGTGAATGTACTGATTGTTCGACTAGAAATATGTTTTAGACGTCATACTGTCCAACCGGACATCCATTATTGCTCCATCTCCTTCAGCACGTGGAAAGTATCGTTTTTACAGTGAGTCTTCCACAGTCTGACTTACATCTTGTATTAGTATCACCTTGTGGAATTTTGAAGTATTGCATAAAGGTAAAGAACATTTTTAGGAATTGTGTAGATATGTTTGCTGATAAAACCAAAAAAGCAGTTCTGTCTTTGATGACTGTAGTCTGTAAACACGTGGCTCCCTCCATCCTCTGTGTACAACCTCTAAAAGTTTGTTACTGCAGTGTCCAAAGGACATATGAGTACTTTTAACTTTGTACAGCAGTATATACTGTAGTCAGAAAAGGTACAGTATGTTTACTTGTTATTCCACACTTTTCCAGACGACCCTTAAAGCCATCTGGACATTTCTCTGCGGCCGCTGACACGTACCCTGTCCAGTAGAAGTATAAAAAACTGTTAAGCTGTTGCATCAATGACTTATCCTGCAGATGATTGGCACAGTCTGTGCTGAACCAATCAACTTGTTGACCTTCTTTAAAGAGGATTACGGCTCCCTCTGCTCAGTTCCCGTCAATTGGGTTAGTGTTGAGAGCAGGGCCTGTGTCTGCAGCGGTCATCTGCCTGTTCACACTGTTCACAGGTCAGCCGTGGTGTAAATGGAGTCAAGGCTGGAGCTGGACGTTCTCATTTACCCAGATGAAGTTAGGCTGGCTTCTCCAGAGGACCTGCGGGGATGGGAGCTGGAGACGGCGAGTCAGGTGTCTACACCTGTGGAGCGACTCTTTGTGGCTCTTTATCCGTACAACCCTGCAGCGATGTCTCCCAACCATGACACAGCAGCGGAGGAACTGCCTTTCATACCAGGACAGATCATCAAGGTGAACCTAGTTTGTTGTTACATTAGTTTAAATAAACCACTAATGAACTGGATCTGGTTCTTCTCTGCTGTAGGTCACAGAGTATGATGTATTTATGTATTATTATTTATTATTTTTATTTGTTTATATTTATCTCATATTTAAAATCATATTTAGATTAAGTCTATGGGAAAATAAATGAAAAATAATCAGATTTATAATCAGCCTATATTTACATATTGAAGTTTAATACATGAATCCCCAAATTTTTCTATAGATATTTCATAAAAAATAGCAATTTAAATTTCTACAATGTCTGTCTGTCTGTCAGTGTTGACGTTAATGTTAAATTAATGGTAAAGTATGCAGTTGTGCAATTATTAGAGTATGCGTACCTTTGACCTGTAGGTGGTGCTAACTACAAATACAAAAAGCCTAGTTCAATGACGCACATAACAGGACTGTACCGTACGTGTGTTCTTGTTCGGTACACGTGTGCAACCTAATTTTTTTTTCTTCAAAGTGGATCAGGGGGAACCACGGTACTGATAAAAACAAAAAAAAGTCCATGTTTCCTCAGCACGTAGTTGCGATAAGTCATCCTCATGTACACTTTATTCACTAGGACAAAAACAAAGCAGACTCTAAACCAACTAATAATAGTTATAGTTGACTCTAGATAAAGCAGATGACAATAAAACCGATGTTTATATAAGAGGAAAACAGCGATATGACGGTTTTTTTTTCCTGTATTGAAAATGTTACAGGCAGACGTGGCGATCATATCAGTAATCTTGAGAATTGAAAAGAAAGGTGTTTACTTTGCAGCTGTGGACAATACACAGGAAATGGGTGTAACTACAATATACCATTTTGTAGAAGAAGCTGCAGAAATAAAGTGAAAGTGCTTTAAAAATGTAATGATAGTTAAACATTTCCCTAATGTTTACAGTGTAGTCAGGATTTACAACCAGACGTCTACGGCCATCATCTGATGTATATACAATAACTACCTGTAGCTACGAATTAATTTAAGATATATATTGGTATATTTTTTAACAATTTTTGAATTGCTGTCTTGTGTGATAAATAAAACAGAATCTTTCTGCCCTGGTCAGATCTGTGGAGACAAAGACTCCGACGGTTTCTATCACGGAGAGTCCGGCGGCCTCTCTGGTTACGTGCCCAGTAACATGGTGGCTGAAATCCCGGTGGACGATGTTTACCTGAGGCGTCTTCTCATGCAGCAGGGATTCCTTCCTGTTGACCAAACAGGTGCTGACTCAACTCCTGAACATCTACTCCGAGCTAGTCTGTGAGCTGATGACATGATGTAGCTAATGTGGATGGCTACAGGCCTGACATTGAAAGCAACATAAATTCTATTTTTTAAAGAAGGTTCTGGACATAGTTTCATGTATGGTCCCTGTTTCATGGCCTTCGTTTCCACAGGTCTGTCTTCACCTTCAGTTCTCAGTGACTTTGGCAGCTTCTGTGATGATGCGGTTGTTCAAAGAATGGTGGCTGTGTTTGACTACGATCCATGGGAAAGCTCACCTAATATAGACAGTGAAGTAAGCACTGACTTCATGTCTGTTAAACCCACAAAATGTCAACCTACTGACTTCATGTCTGTTAAACCCACAACATTTCAACCTAAAATTAAAAAAAGAAAAACTTGTTTTAAATGTGTTTCGTTGCAGGATGAACTCGGCTTCAGGGCGGGAGACATAATATATGTTCTGGGGGAAATGGATCAAGATGGGTTCTATTATGTGTGTGGTATCACATGTTAAATAGAATTACAGAGAGAGGAAATCTTGGCTTTTACTTTTCACCAACTGTACTTCTGTCAAATGTGTTTCAGGGTGATCTCCATGGTCGACGAGGTTTGGTCCCCTCAAACTTCCTGCAGCCGCCGGCCTGGGACTAAAACGAGAGAGAGAAAGAGAGAGAGAGAGAGCACTAAGCTCAGAGAGGTGAGAGAGAAGGTTGGAGCGATTGAAATGGTCAAAGAATGGTGAGGATTGATACGAGAAAGAACAACAGCCAAGAGAAGAAGAGAAAAGAAATATTTAATTCTAAAAGATAATTAATTTGTTTTTTTAGAGTATTCTGTATTTAAAGTGCTTTATTCCAACCTCCGTTATTAGATATTATATATCTTATATATTATAGATATATATATTATGTAACAAGAATCAAGAGCACAGAGCTTTAATGAACACGTCAGACAGCAAAGCATCACACCACAAAAAAAGAAAGTATTAAAATACATTAACAAAGTCATACAGCTGATTTTAGATTCTTCTGTCAGAGCTCGTCTGAATTTGAACTTGACGTAAAGAATGTTGAGAAAGTGAATCGTTACAGACAACTGCTGTAAGGTAAATAGGAAGAAGTGAAGAGAAATGAGTTATTTTGTGTCCGTTCACTGGTAAAATGTTCTAAAAAATAATGCATTGATAAAATAATAAATAAATAAAATAATTTATTAAATATTTAAATTACAAATATTATTAAAAAATTATTTGGGTTTCATGAAAATGCCTGTGAAATATTAAAAAAAAAAAAAAGATTGTAGTGTTGGGCTTTGTATCAGATTTTTTTGCTTTATTTTTTTTATCACACACACAAATACATCAGAAGTGTTTATAACATCCATGTGTGTAATACAGTTCTGTAGAAACATAAAAAGTCCAACACTGTTAAAACCAAAGGGAAATGAAATCATACTTTAGCCTTATTTCCTGTCTCTGAAAGGCGGGAAAGTATTACTATTAGGTTGTTTTTTTTTGTGGTTTATTTTTGCCTTATAACCCATTGTATTTTATAATATTTAAAGTCTACATTTTTATGTAATTATAGCACAAAAAGTAATTGTTTTAATGTAAAAAACATTGTAAATCTAAAGTAAAAAAAATAAAATCTGAAGAACGTAATCTGATGCAATCTGCCTATTTATTTGATTTTAAACTCATCCAAAATCATCTGTAACATCTTCATTTAATACATGATTCTCAAACGACGGACGGCTCATACATTGTGGTTATCGACAGTTCAAACTCGATCAGTGTGACTGGTTTCTGTCTCTTGTCGTCGTGCGGTCCTCTGCAGCCAACAGTACACTCATCCATAAAGTAGGAAACACTACACTGTGCATTCAAGTTTAGTAGTGCTTTCTACTTTATGGGTGACAACACTGTAACACATGAAGCTCCTGGTTGTGCACCGTCGAAGACACTGTAGTCCGAGGAGTTTCAATATTAACAAATGCAACATACTGGGTATTGTTATACAGCAGAGGGAAAAAAAACATCACAGAGCATCATTCTGGTGTTTTAATGTTAGGAGTTTCTTAACTTTATTACAAATGTTAAAAAGTAATACAACAGAGAAAAGCAGTGGAGAGAGAGAGAGGTCGGTCAGGGTCTTACCAGCATGTGCACGCCGTCCAAGAAAGGAAAAGCAGAAGTGAATGTGATCTTTAAATTAACTCGGTGTGAACCACGTGGTAAAATAGGAAGAGGCACCACGCATGCGCTCTCACAGGGGACCTGCAAAATGTCCCACAAGGAAGTCGTCTCGGTGGAACATATGTCTTAACAAGTATACAAACACACCATGAAGTGTTCTAGGAAGATATGTCTTAACAAGTATACAAACACACAAGGAAGTGTTTGTATCCTAGAAGGGTTTGTGTCTTCTTAAGTAAAGACATTTTGGCTGAAGGAAAGGGTTCATGGTTTATGAGACAGTCAGGAGTGGCAGAGAAGTATGTGAGGGTCGTGCAAGACATACACAAATCCATTGAGACAGTAGTTAGGTGTGCTGTCAGAATGATCAAAGGAAAAGTCAAGATTAAGCGGTTTGGAGGAAAAGGTAGAGAGGCAAGTTTAAACTGAATTTGTCTTGCCTAAATATTAGCAATATTCAACTGTTTTGTTATGATTTATTCATGATTTTGATCTTATTGTTGACATTTGTACAACAATTTAATCTCATATACTCGCATGCAAACATTTTTTAAAACCAGGACATACTGAACAGCAGATAATAGTAAACAATAGGTATAAGATTAAAGATTTCTCATTACAAACCTGAAGTCCTGAGTTCCTGAGTTATGGCATTAACACAACAACTGAAAGCAGCCCAATGTAAAACCCAAGAAAGGAAAGAAGCTAGAAAAAGGATCTGTTATCAAAGACCAGTTTGACTTTGTTACACAAAAAAAGTTAAAGGAAGCTGTTAACTACATAGTGGGATAAAAGGAATAAAAGACATGCAGACTGATAAGAGATGTGTATATTAGGGCTTGGCATTTTAATGTGTTATTATTGCGTTAAGTCGTAAATTCATTAACACCGACAATTATTTTATCACACGTTATCGCAGTTGAAATCATTTCATTAGTGTAAGTGTTGTAAACTGTCTTTCTTATAAATACCCTATTTGTACGTGTTTACTAAGTCATGAAAGAAATACATTGCTTGTCCAGTTGCCCCACTTGTGTCTGACTAGTACTCATTGCCTTTATTGGTTATGTTGGTTGGTCTCCTGGCAGAACCTTCAGTGGGCAGTGTGGAAATAGTACAGCAATGAGAACATAGTGTAAGACTTGTAATGTACCCAGTCTTAAGTGAGGATTATTTCAGAAGTGTTTTGCAAATATGTGTGTGAAATGCGCTCCATTATGCAGATTTTGTTTAGCATGCTAGCACCAAGAAGTACCAGAAAAATGCTGCACCATGCTAACCAGCACTGAAGTCATTGCCTCCTTTGAAAATGATGAGACAGCAAAGTGAAGTGAAGGTAGCTGTGTATATGGCACAAGGCAAATCCATGAATTCTGTTGACCTTCAGCTAAATAAATTGTATCAACTCAAATTTTACTGGACTGAATGAACTGCATCCAACCGACCAAGCAATTTCTCCATGTATCTTCAAAGCACTCAGTTCTTGGAAATCACCATAACTTTTTTATATTAACTCAATGCATGTCAATCACATCAGTCACGTTTAGTTTAATCTGCCCTTAATTTAATTCCTTTAATCCTTTATTGTACAAAGGCATGTTAAATACCACAACCATCTAACCAGTGGACTCCCTGTTTGCTCCCTGGGTGACCACCTTCACCAGCAAACACGGCAGCAAGCAGATGATGGTCAACATTTGGTAGAGTAGATTGGGGGGGAAAAAAATCAGACTGGGGCGAGTCCAACGTCAACTGCTTTCTTCAAGATCTCTTTGCTAACCTTGCTGCCTGCAGCTGCTGCTATGACAAGAAAATATCTACAGCAAGGTTTCAGTTTGAACGTCTGTTGTTCACAACAGACGTTTGTTCTTTTCGAAAGGCAAAAATGCCTGAAAGCTGCAGCATCGGTGACAGGAAGTGGTTAACGTATTATTTGTGTTACTGAGAAGTCACTTGCATCTGCGAGTCCCAGATGAGGTGTGAGTGGGGGTGGTGCAGCAAAGACCTTTAATGTCTTCACAAGTGATGTGCAACAATGCACTTGCAGCAACAGAACATTTGCAAAGAGATGATAAAGTCACAACAGCTCAGACCTCAGAGTCACGCAGAGAAATAAGAGGAAGTGGAGGAAAGGAACCAAGCAACCCACAGAGGAGGCACTTGTTAAGACAGGAGAAATGATTAGTAAAACTTTACATGAACTAATGAATCAGTCAAAATTGTTCTGGTTTCTGATGTAAAACTTTTTTTTTCAGTTCATAAAATTAAGTTTAAACAACCAAGAGATAAAAAAACAAAACAAATTATAACTATACAATATAGATGAAACAAAAAACAACAAGATCAAATTATCCATAAAATCTAACTGAATGTGTAAAAACATTTTTTATAGTTATATTTATATTACAGACCAGAAGAGTGTTACTTTAAAATGTTCAGTCAAATAATACAACTTCAAGCTTCTAAATCTTATTTTTTTTCTTTTAGCCCTGATAACAGTGTGTCAGTTCAATCTTTTACCCGGAAGTCCACCACATTCAGTTGCAACCTGTCTCTAAGATTTTGAGACTTGCTGAGTACTGCCGCCAAGTGGTAGTTTATGGAACTAAATAAAATCGATCTGATAAAAATAAATATATAATAAGAAATATATAAAATACTACTTACGTATTCAAAATTTTGAGAAGTTCAGTTGAAAAAGATTTTTATATATTCTACAGTTAAGTTGTATCAGTTTTCAAAACATTTTTATAGCAGTTAATTTAAAAATAAAAACACAAAAAACAAACACCAAACCCCATAGGGTAAACATTGTTATGGTAGTTATTTCTTTTTAAAAATTAAAAAATAAAATGCATGAAAATAAAGACAATACTTACTGACATACTACACATTTACTTACATACATAAATACATATACTGTATATCCACCCCCCAAATTACATAAAGTTACATAATGAAGTGTTAAAAATCAATAAATTCCATAACTTGGAATGTAGACGTTTCATTTAATAAACATTAACCACAGATCATACACTTTGTCTGATCAGTGGTCAATGTTTATACTTTGAAGATAACTGGTGTTTAGAGAGTGCTGTATGTAACCAGTGCTGCCAGGAGGATTAGCATGTTGCTGGTGGTAGCAAGATGGCCTCTAGAGTAGTACACCTGTCTCCCATTCAGTGGCTGCACTGGTCTGTAGCTGTTAATCATCGGCTGTCCATCAGAAAATTTAAGCTTGGAGAATGCAGAGAGCTGGGGAAAAAAACCACAAGTATGAAAATGACTGTACTTCAGAGAGTGGAGAGTTGGACGTGGTATGAAGAGAGCTAAGTCTGTACGCAGCTACATGATTCTGTGTCTGTAGGGAGAAATTTGCTAATTGTACCGCTACCAGTGTAAAGTAATGGGCATCTGGTGTCAAAGTGACTTGGGCAAATGTTTTATTTCTATGAAGTCCCCAGCTCTGTATATATATATTATTCTATGAAGTCCCCAGCTCTGTATATATTACCAACAGATCCTTATTTTCTAAACATTTTTTATTTTGATGAGTTTTAACATTTTGAAATTGATTTGAAATCTTGTGGTTGATCATTTCTCAAATCCAAAGATTAATATCAAACAATGTTTGCATTGATAAAAGTGTGTGTAAGTGGATGTGACATCAGCAAAGGAACCTCATACCTGATTTCTGCTCAGAGGAATGGTGTGTTCAAACACAGTCCAGACGACAGCTTCAGCACAGGACGGTGTTGTTAGGGAGCCGTCGTAGCGGAAATACTCATTAAGGGATTTAAAATCTGGGATCAACTCAGCCAGGGACAGGTCCAGCATGGTGCTGTTGTCTGTTTTATCAAACATTAACAAGACAAGGAAATAATCATTTAATCTGTATGATCCATCAGTGCTGTAATGAGGCCAGTGTAACACTACACACAGCTTTTGTTCTACATTGTTGTCCATATTTAGGGACTTTATGATGCAGTGTTATCTTACAACTACTGCATCATAAAGTCACTAAAAGATTTACCCCAGGATTCACAAGACATAAAGTAAATAGTACTTAGAGAAGTATCTTTGTTTTCTGTTCATTGTTTTAACCTGTTTATTTAAAGATTGTTTTTTTGTACAAACAAAACGTCATTGTGGCACTCACGCTTTTTTTTAAAGTACAAACAAAACGTCATCGTGGCACTCACTGCGTTGGTGATGAGAAAATGAGAGTTTCAACAGAGGCATCACATCAACTTATTTTCAGTGACAATGTTTTCAGACTTACATGGTTGAATGATGTCCTCCAAGGCATTTATGATGGGACTGAAGTTCTTGTTCTCAGACTCAGACTCCTGTAACAAAACCACGTTTTGTATTTTTTTAAATATCAAAAACAATTCTGTTGCATGTTGAAGAATGTATTTACCTGAAAGAAAAATCCAAGAACAGCCAAACCTGCACGGTCCTTCAAAGCCTCAGATAATGAGTGGTACTTTTCTTTGAGGTGAACTATGTGTATCTGTAGATGAAACATGTAAAGCCTTTAATTACAGCGTAGAATGGAATTGGAAACAAAAATATGTGTCCCATATTCAGCTGAAAAGGAAGTTGGTAACCCTAAGCCCCCAGCTTGCTGGAGGAGAAAGGAAACTTATCGGATTGTTATCGCCTTCCCTAAACTATATGAGCGTATCTCCATCTGCACATCAAACCTCCATTGGAAACTGTTCTCCATCTATCAGGTGTTCAGATCCTGGTCCTCCATGTTTGCCCCAGTGCAGGTGGAGCTGAAGTGCCTTGTACGTTACTGGCAGATTTCCTCCACTGATCTTTATATGGGAGGGCAAATCAAGTTGAACTAGAGAAATGATAAAAACAAACACAGGAAACAGACATGCTGAAAACAAACAACAAGGCCATAACAGATTATTATAATGTTTTTGTTAATCACTTCATAAATGAAACACACAACGTTGTGAGATTATGAGCTGTTCAGAGATAAAGTAATCAACACAGGTCAAATTAAATGATTTACTGCAGCAGCCATGAAGTGAAAAGATAAAGAAAGGAAGAACAAAGGAAACAAAAGAGGAACTGAAGGTGAAGGATAGGGAGCAATAGAAGGAGGAGGAGGGAAATCCTGAATGTTATCTGGTAGATTAATCACAGGAAAAGAACAAGAGAGAAGGAAGCTAAGGAAGGTAGAAGTAATGAAAAAACTAGAAGAATGGATAAAACAAGAATTAATCGAGAGAAGGAAGCTAAGGAAGGTAGAAGAAGAAGAATGGATAAAACAAGAATTAATTTGTATTTCAATATTTAATAGGAATTAAATGGAAGGGGAATAGAAGAAAAAGAAAACTGAATAACAATTTTATTGCAGCAATCAAAACATTTGAACATTATCACGATCGGTCAGGACGTACCAGAGTGACCGTTGTTGACGAGATGACCACGGAACCTGTGTAGATAATCACTGAGCTGAAACGGAGTGAGTCGTCCGTCAGGCAGAACTCTTTTCCTAACAATGTTCACAGGAGACTGAGTTCTGCCGTCACAGTGCTCAGAAACTTTGCCCCACCTGGCTGGGCCTGAGGAGGCAGACGGAGGGGAGGAGAAAAAACACAGCTGTAGTTTTCCACTAAAACATTCAGCTTTTCTTCTTACAAAAATATGTTTATTTATTTATTGTACTATTTGTGCATTTGTCTAAATGAGGTGCATCAAATCTAGTGGGTCTATTATCTTCTATTTATTGTACTTTTACCTGAGGAGTGAACCACATACACGTATGTATTCTGTCATTTTTGTTTGTTCGTTTGTGTAATTTGATTTAATTAATTTATTATTAATTATTTTTTATTTATTTATTTTGTCATTATTTATTTGTTGATATTTTTGCTGTCCCATGGTAAACATTTATCTGCTGGCTGTTTCATTTTCTGCTGACACAAAAAAATCTCATGTTTTGAGACATTACCTGAAGCAAACTATCTTGGCAATGTAAAATGTTGTTATTTTTATTTTATTTCATTGCGGCTGTTGCTGTCTGTAAAAACCAAAAAAAAGAAAAAAGGAATTAACTCTAACTTACTCAAAGACATCTGGCTAGTATTAGATGCGGCTGTTGCTGTCTGTAAAAACCAAAGTGTAATGTAATGTAAAAGATAAATTGCACTTGTATCAGATCTAGTTAAGATCATAAGTCAACAATCTGTTGAAAAAGTGAACACCCTGCAACAGTCTGTCAGTTTGTCAGCTTGGTTTACCTGTACAGGTGTTATTGCATGTGTACTGAGACTGATAGCACCAATCTGAGACAGAAGATGACAAAGGAGAACATGAGAAATGTATTTGTAAATGTAAATGCCACTACAACAATCAAATATTCAAAAAACATGTATTTATGTCATGTGATATTGCGTTTTTCTCTGGTAAAACATACCTGCTGCTGAGACGGTGCTGACTGAGGACGTCAACAAAAGTAAAAGGAATTGATGTAGCATTGCAAAAAATGTTCAAGAGTTCAAATCTAAACCGAAGTTACCAGGATGCTAACAGAGAACAGTGTTCATCAGACTGGTTATAAGGCTGGTCGAACCCTGTCAGAACAGCCCAGAGATCGTGCTTCACCTTTATGACTTCACCTTTATTGATCACTGACACACAACAAACCCTCATATCTGTGGGTTCATGTTCTCAAGTTAATGAATGGACCTAAAAGGGCTTGGTGGGAGCAATTCAGTTCAGTCAGCAACATTTCTTTTTCTGCCACTACTGTTTGGGCTTATAAATGTATCAGTATTCTTGACAAATTTAAACTTTGCTGTTTTGGGCTAATTAACTTCATCACCCGGGTTGCTGAAGTTTAGAAATCTTAGTTACTGTTTGTCTGAATTTGTGCTATTTGTTATAAACCTGGCTACAGACCATGCCCTTCCTGCTGTTTATACTGAGATATTTCACTTAGCATTTTCTCCGCCAATTTAATCACATTTCTTGGCTTTTTTTCAGCTACTCGTGTCTTACTCTTTCTGGTCTATCATTTAAGTTATCTCGTGGATAGCTTTAAGCTCTTTATATGTTACTCTCAATACACTTTTGTCCTGTTTATTTATGTTTTGTTATTTTTTTCCAAAGCCACTGTGCAATAAGTTTTACGATTAATGACAGATTATGACTATGATTATGATTATGACTGATTTATTTCTATTCATGGGTTACTGTTTTGGAATGTAAACTTAAATTTTACATAATTTGGCTTCATTTTAGTTTAGATTTTATGGGCCTTCATTATATATATAAAAAACAAAACAAAACATGGATATGGACTTAACCTTGATTTAAATTTGCTTGTATGAAACAAATGCACACCTGACAGATTGGTAGAAACATGCTGGGAAGGTCAGTATGTTCTGAGACTTTTGCAATTTGTGGTTTGTTTACACTTTGATAAGATAAGATAAGACTTATTTAACCGGAGCAAACCAATTAAAATGATAGATTTATCCACAACAACAATACTCTTTCAAACACATACAAGATTTACAAGAGATGTAGGTGTGATATAATAAAAAATGTAATTAAATGTCACGTATTAAATGTATGTTTTGGCATATTACAAAACTAGAAACTCCATACTGAACAACCAACTGCAATAATAATGCATTTAAAGTAAATATTACCAGTAGTTGAGTTATTTGAATATTTACTCTCTTACTTACTTGATGTCTGTCTCATACAGGTGGTTTCTCCTTATATGTGTAGATATTGTTCATTTGCTTTATTGTATTATCTCACGTGTTCAACCTTTGCTTCCCACGCTGAAATAAGAGTGAATTGCCCATAATAAGTCAAACTTCGCTTATCTTTTCTTTCAGACTAAAGACCTTCAGGTACACCCTGGAGCTGTTAGTGCTGCTTGGTGAGACACTGGGACAGATGGAGAGTAATTGCATATAATAGTACAATGCAAAGTTCGATGTTAGGGCAATAAAGTCAGCGTAAATGAACGACATGTTCGACGTGATATTTAAACACACTGCTCACTTTTATGATACAAAGTAAAGTAAATGTCGGCAAAAAGATAGATAGCTGCACCAGTGATGCAGTATGTTGGTGCCAGGTAGTATGAATTATACCAAAGAAATTAAATTAAATAAAAATTTGATTGACTACATCAAACTCTAAAATATCCTTGGCGTGTAAAAATATAACATTATCATTCATTGGGTGAAATTAAAGTGTTGATAACATAACAAAAGTCCGTGAAAGGCAGTCTCCAGGCCTGTTACTGAGATGATTTTACCACATGTAGTATTATTAGTCTAACCAAACCTTTACACCATTTATATTACATTTTATTAGCCACACAATTTGATGCAAAGCAAGTTAGCAGTGGTACCTGGAACCTCCACATGGTAGAGCTCCAACGTAACAGACAATATGAGCAGTCTAGCTCAAACAGTATTTTAAGGACTATAGTAAATGTATCGCACTTTTACATAAAGTGTGTTCCAGAATGAGCCCTCATGTTTCCAGTTCTCTCAGTGGTTTCATCAAATAATTAGCGTAAATAAAATTAATTTGACCTGTATGAGGCGCAGTGGAATTCAAACTATCGTTTGTCTTTGTGAAACGTATGTGAAAAAACAGGCTTCAGCAAGGAACACATTTTTATAATTTCAACAAAGGTTTTGTCACAAAAAATACAATGACCAAATTAATTTATTGTGATTTATGTCCAGAAATACATGGGCCAGTCCAAACAATGGCCTAGTTTCGCCTGAATTCAATATATCTGGTTCGGTTTGGTTTAGGTAATGTCCCCAAAAGCCTCTTTGCTCTTTTGCAAAATAAATCTTTGGTTATTTCACGGCGTCTCAACTTTACCACAAACACTCTGAAAAAGTCTGAAATTCAAACAAAATCATATTCTACAACGGCAGTGTCGAGGGAAGGCAACGTAACGTAGGGTTGTTACGTATGATGTCAAGCTCGCGTCATACGTCATCTCAAACTCGAACTAGCTCTATCTGCACAGGCATACTGTAGTGATTTCCTTTATCGAGGCAAAAATCGAGATCCCATTTTTTCGCTATGGTGTATATGACACCTCAGCCGCGTGTCGCAAAAAGGAATACCCTTAACGGAACGTCATTGTCACACGCGTGATCTAAATCTACGCTTCTTTCAGCCAAGCTAAGTGTCATTAGCGTCTGCTAGCGGCCAAAAGCTAACTTTGCGTTAGCACTTTAGCCTGGCTCGCTAACCAGTGACAACCAACAAAGGTAAACAAACACACCTTTTTGCATGATTTTGTGGGAAAGCACCGGTGTAATAATTTAACCGATTCAAAAGGATTGTGTCTCCTGTCTGGAAAGTTGTGAAGCAGTGGTTAAACGCACCCATGTGTATATGTATAAGGCGGAGAAAAGGATCAGTCAACGAAAAACAATACAAATCCCGAATCCCAGGCCAACCCAACTAACTGTAGCTAATCGCTACCAACTGCTAGGCGTCTACCGGCAGTATTGTTAGGCTGTTATAAGTACTTTACCTCTTTGGAACAATAACATTACTTGTAGCCATGAATTCAGTATGTAGTTAACAGTTTATGTTGTCACAGGCGTGGTCATGGCCTTATGTTATACTGAAGTAAACAGTACAACGATAACTGGTTTTAAACATACGCCCGTAAAAACATATACAGTATATACACTCGTAAATGTAAAATATAAATAAACCCCAAAACGTCATTACTAGTTTGTGCTTGTGTTGGAATTGTTGGCAACACAAGCACATATGGCACACGGTAGAATTAAAATGGTTTTAAAAAGTAAAAAGATGACGATGTTTCTCTCCATACATCGTCTTTATACAGCTGGTGACAACATTTAGCACTGACTTAAACACTTTCTAGACAAATTTGTATAAGGGTGCTCATATTATTTATGCCATTAAATGCTGTTAACCATTTGAGGTTTGTTTTGTTTTAATATTGATAAAAATATCTTTCTATATGAATGATTGACATAAATTCGGCCATATTTACTGGGAGTAAATTGTGTACTAGATGTTAACTTTGAGCCAGCGAACTACATCGAACTTTTTCCATCTGATTCCAACTTTACATTTAACACATTTATTAAACATTAAATTATTCCCCTCCAGCAATCTGTTGGCCTATATTTTATTGGGCTTTATAAAAAAAATAGCTGCATCACCTCAAAGTACTTATTGTCATGACAGCTTACAGCTTTTCTGCGTGTGGCTTGAAGGTATCATACTGTTTAAGTATGGTTCCCCTGAGTTTGGGTCATACTCACGTAACTAACATCTACAGCTTGGTTAAGTACTTCTAATTAAAGTAGTAATTTAATGCATTGAATAAACTCAGTTGTTTATTTTTTGACGAACTATCTGGGTTTTAGCAGTCTAACCTTTGTATCAATAATTGCATGTTGTGTAGTCATTCTTCAGGCACTGTGACAGACCAACTACTTGCTGCTGTGCTTCTCATATTAGTGGTCCTTTAGCTGAGTTCATAGTTTCCAATCATCCATAAACTTGTCATGCATGGTCCAGTGGTTCCTTTAAGCAAACAACAGCAATCTCCCAGTTTTTATTATTGTTTTAGTCTGCTTTTGTAACTACTTCTGATAACTTTCCAGATATGAAGTGACATGTATTTCATCAGGTGATATTTTATAACCCTGGGTAACCTGTTCTGCAATACATCAGTATGTACAAAATGTACAATAAATTACATTATTTAGCTATTGAGCTGGCCCCAGTATTACAAGTCAGGTAAATGACTATATGTATCAAGCTATAAAAAAGGACTGTCCCTCTGTTATATACTGTTAAGTACACTGATGCAGCTGGTCACAACACAAGTGTTGGTAAATTACAGCACTTACAGCACTTGTATCATTCACTGTTGACCAGTGCAAGCTTGAGAAAGAGTCTGCATTTTTAGCACTGTCCATCAAGTATAGAGTTGGATAATGTAGCTACACTTCCATTGTACAGTATTACTAAGATTGTTGTGAATTTGCTGATCAAAGGCTGAGGAATGATTTGGTCACAGCAGCCAGTTAGCTGTAGTAAATGTCTCTATACTTGGCATGGAGAAATGTCATTATGTGCAGTTGAACAAAATGTGTGCAAAAAGCCTATATATATATTTGGCATGGAGAAATGTCATTATGTGCAATTGAACAAAATGTGTGCAAAAAGCCTACAATATTATAGTGTGAGCTAAGCTAGTAAAGCCAACAGATGGAAAAAACAACGCAGTCAAAAATACCAAAAGACACAAAAACACAAACTTCACAAGTTAATTGAAAGTTTGGAAAATGCTAATAGAAATGTAAGTTTCATGTGTTGACTATGAGCAACTGTTGTGTCAATGATACTTACAGTGTAATGCCGCTGCACATCCTTAATACCTGATCAGTTAGTTGCTCAGCTAAATTAATATAAATATGCACAGATCATTCGTGATCTTTGGGAATAAGACATCCAAAAATGAACTACGAGTAATAGATGTTGACTGAAGTACTAGACCAGTTCATACTTTTTTAAAAAGGGTAAAAAGACAATGTAATTTTTTTAACACTTTTTTGTATTTTTTTGTAGATTCTGAAAATCCTGGAAGATGTGATCTTGGAATTACAGCAGTGAAGACAATCTCATTATCACCGTTACCAACCAGCAGAGTCTTAAGCTTCTGTTTCATTCATTAGACAACTTTTCAGCATTCAACGTGCGATTTAGGTGGACAGTGTTCTCTGCACCTGAACCATGTGAGGCCCCCTCAGTCCAGTCTGAGGGGATCCCAGGACTGTTCGTGCAACCCTGCTGTGCGGGGTTGGACTGATCCAGTTTGTGCTTGACAGAAAGAGTGGTTTTTTTCAGTTGCCCCCCTCAACTGAGGATAAACGCCATGATGTTCCGAGACCAGGTGTCTGTCCTCACAGATTGGTTTAAGGGCTGGAACGAGTGTGAACAGACGGTGGCACTGTTGTCCCTTCTGAAGCGGGTGTCGCGCACCCAGGCTCGCTTTTTGCACATCTGCCTTGAACACTGGCTAGCAGACTGCACAGAGATCCATATCCTTGAAGCTGAGGCCAACAACGCAGGTAGCTAACTTTCACTTTACCATTTCATGACTATAAGTATGTATTTCCTTTTTTTTGCACAGAAAACCCTCCTTTAAATCTGCCCTTGTTCTGGTTCCTTAGCAATTGTCAGTCAGTGGCACCAAGAGTCAAAAGAGAAGGTAGTTTCCTTGCTGCTGTCCCATCTGCCGCTATTGCAGCCACGCAACAGCGAAGCCAAATGTGAGTATATGAAGCTGCTGCAGAAAGTGTTGAGTCACACCATTGAGAGCAGCCTATTTGTGGAAGAAAGCAGACAGCTGCTGTCCTACGCCCTTATCCACCCTGCCACCACTCTGGACGACCGCACCTCTCTGGCTATGTGGTTAAACCACCTTGAAGAACACTTATCAAGTGGCTATACGCCACGGGCCCCCTCCAGCCCTTACCACCCACGCCAAGGCTCAGATGAATGGCCGAGCTCCGCTGAAGCTTTGGACCCAGGCCATGCCTGGCAAGACAAGTCCCCATCCTCCAGCACGTCTCCAGCAGGCCAGAACGGACACATGCCGTTCCCAGGTGGGATGTCCTCTCCCATCAACAGCAATAACCCAGGTAAGTTGCTCCAATGACATTGTCCCTTTATATGGAAAGGTCACGGTGATTAATTAGTTAGATTTGTACGTGCTCTATGTAAAACCATAGGGCATTCATGACTATGATTTTTTTCATGTCCACCAATCTGACAATAAAGTCCTGTCGAAGTCAAGTTGGAGAGTCATTTAATGACGTCATCACATTGACAGACGAACTAGCATTTAATGACGTCATCACATTGACAGATGAACTAGACAAGAACACATCCAACAATGTGCATGTGACTCTCCGTACATTAATATTGTAGTTTTTGCTAATGGAAATAAGCCAGCTATCAGTTGTTCTCTTCTCTATCCTCTCCCAGTGCGATGCTGGTGGAAATAAGCCAGCTATCAGTTGTTCTATCTTCTCCCAGTGCGATGCTGAACATCTCCATTTTTGCTCTTGTGACAGTTGCATCCTCCAGGATGTAATGTTACAAAGTAATGTTACCACCCATATTATGTGATTATGACTGCATTAATGATGAAATATCACATAAGCCAATCAGTGATGGATTTCATTAGGACACACGCAAAAAAAACCCTACTCTTAACATTTTGACTGCTCCCAAGGGACGAACTGCTGCACGCAAAAAAAACCCTACTCTTAACATTCTGACTGCTCCCAAGGGACGTTAGGGACGAACTGCTGTTTGACAAACTGTTTGAGATGTCAAGTATTGTTTTCCCACCAAACTAACTGGCAGCAGTTTTTTTAGGATTCTTTTTTATTAGCTAACTCACTAACCTCCATCTGGATCCCTTACAGCAGTAGTAACAGGAAAAAAAGATACAAGGCTTGTCAGTTGTATATTCCACTGGGGTTTCCTTTTGTTAAACTTCAGACATATAACCACTTCCAAGTTGCTTGGGGAAAACAACATGTGCCTATGTGTGGGTGGGTGTAGTTTATTCTACCTTAAGTATTTATACCCAGTTCTAGCTCTAAATAACAGCTGTGTTGTTTTTCCTTCTCAGGTCTGACAGGGCAGATGCAGCCAAGCCCTTTAAAGTCTATGTCCACTATTCCCTCTAGTCCACAAGCTTGTGGCTCTGAGTGGCTCAGTCAGGATGACCCAGGAGGACGGCAGAACTTCCTTCCAACTGATCATGCGCCTCTCTCACCTCAAAGCAGCGTAGCTTCATCAGGCAGTGAGCAGACAGAAGAACAGGGATCCACTCGTAACACTTTCCAGGAGGATGGCAGCGGCATGAAAGGTCAGAACAGAAGTTTTAACTTAACATCATCTTGTCACAGAAAGGTTAACAATAGAAATGAACCCTCACGTTTAATTGTCTTACATTCTCTACTAGTGATGTAATAGTAGTATAAAAAGTTCTTCCCAACCAAGGCTTGCCAATATCTTGAGGAAGATGTAAATGTCAATGTGACAATAAACAAGTTCAGATTCTGAAATATATCTTCCTACTAGGGCTGGACATATGTACAATTTTTCGTAGATACTGGTTGACCTAGTCTTACGTCTGGGTTTGGTTGCTATCAGCAACCAAAAGGTGCAGAAAAATTCTTTATGGAATGCTGGAATCCAGTTCCAAACAAGTTTGCCCCTACAAGTCTTGTCCTTCACTTTTGACAGAGCCATGAAAGGGGAATGGGCAGAGAGTTTGGAAGACTGAGACTGGTGCTGTCCCTGTTATATTTGTTGAAATAAATCAACTTCATCTTGACATTAGTTCTTCTTAATACAGTTCTGTCATCCTGTGTTGGAGAGGCTGAAACAAAGTGGTGTAACTCTGAGAACACAACTTCCTTATTTGTCAGAATACTTTCTGATTACATTCTGATTTCACTGCTGTTGAAAGGCTAGGCTTATTAAAATGGGCTAATGAACAGTAAAATGACCTTTTATCATATTTTATTGAATTCAGATATTTCTTCATCAATATTCTTTGCTCGTGTTGGCCAAGGGCATTGTGATCTCACTGGTAACTCGATTTGTTTTTCTATTACAGATGTTCCTGCATGGTTAAAAAGTCTGCGCCTTCATAAGTATGCATCGCTTTTCTCCCAGATGACCTACGAAGAGATGATGATTCTCACAGAGCAGCACCTTGAGTCACAGGTTTCTAATCTTCTCTTTCTCCTAATGTGAAAGCTGGCTTTTTTTATTCAACTCTCAACATTACTAACATTCTGGTCTGACAATAGGGAACATAACTGTCATCAGACCTGATGATACATCAAGTCTCAATGAGCCATGAAATTAAGCAATGCACCCTACAGCTATATCAGGGCAGTCACACATATGAATAGTGATTTTTGCCTCTGTCCCTTTGCTTAAATAAAACAGATGGTGATTAACTTTGTCATTTATTATCTAAATAATTAACTGATGTTTACACCAAAGAACTCGATATTTGCTTCTCATAACATCTTGTTTTTTGTCTTTTACAGAATGTCACTAAAGGAGCACGACATAAAATTGCCCTAAGTATTCAGAAGCTGCGGGAAAGGCAGAGTGTGCTTAAATCTCTAGAAAAGGTAATTTAAACAGAAAGTTATTTCCTTTTGTATTTATAATGGACTATTTCATATTTATTGTGGGGATATTCAAAGTGCAGCTAATGGTGCAGTAGAGGCCAAAAAATGTTTCCCTCCTATAACTTCTTAGACTTTAAAAACAGCAGGGGATTCTAACATGGCATTTCTAAACAGACTTCTGTTGTAAAGGAAACATCCTGTATCTTACTTTGCATCCATAATGAAACTTATTTCACAAAACTCACACATCAAGCCAGAGTTTCAATTTTTGGGTTATTTGATTCATTTGTAAAATTCCAGTTTTCTTAATTTGATATACAAAAAACAAACTCTTCTACAGCACAAAATTTTATTCTCATAAACATTTTAACATTTCACAGAAACTGCGATCAGTCACACATTCTCACTGTAGTTCAACAACTTCAAACAAATGAAGTGCTTGGTGACTGTAGTGAGGTACAAAATAAGAATGGATTCCCGTGAACCCAACTCTCTGACAAACAATAAGAATGTCTGCAATTCATATTATTTTTCTAGTGACTTGTTTCATGTCACTCCAAAAATGTTTGACCTCTTTTGTTGCGTTGTCTTGAAATAAAATGTCCAATAAGTACAAAATAAATGAAATCCAAGTTTAAGCTTTTTTTCTTTTACATGAAATAAGTCCAGTGGGAAATAAGAGATGATGAAGGAGAGCTTTTACCTGCCATTTGCAGGGGCAAAAGTTCTATTTCTTGAGCAGTAATGGCAAGTGATTTTCACAAACAAAAGCGTTTCCCCTGAAAGTCTATTTTTTTTTCTTATAAAACTAAACAAACTCGCACAGCTGGATGATGGTGATTGAAGTTTCAGATTAGGTTGGTCGTTCGCGGTGGCTCCCCATGGATTTCGTATATTCCTTCCTGTTTCATGTGTTACAAATAGTGAACCTCAAACTTTCCTGGCTCACTGTGAAGTTTTTCCAAACCAACAATGCAATGGTTCCAGTTTGTGAGTGTGAGCTTCATCTCCTCTGCCCTGAAAAATCTCAAAATGATCTGCTGTGAAACCGGCAAGGCCAGTTCTGAGCGGTCATGCTAGTTAATTGTGATCACTGGCCAGTCAATCGATGCATCTTTAATTAAAGAGGCTAAATGTTATGACCTATAGTACATAGAAAACTAACCTTTTAGATGACCATGATGTAATATATAATGCTATGTTTTCAAAGTTAGATTTGACTTCAAACTGGGATTTATCTTCCAGTATAATTGCCATATGAGATTTATTTAAGAAACAGAGCAGTCATTTATAAAACACGATGGCCCGTTAAAGAAATTCTATTAAAGAACAAGAACAAGAAATGTTAAAGATGTCAAAGAACATCAAAGTGTTTCAGATGCTGAATAACCTGGATGAGTGACGTTGTCAAAAGTTCTCCATATGGTACATGGTTCAGATGTAATTGCTGTAAAAAGAAAAAAAAAAGGTGAAAGTTGTGTTTTAAAAGACTTGTTAAACTTATCCCAGCGTGGAATTGAAGTGTCAAAAAAAGGACTGGACTGAGTGATGTTTCAGAAAAAACACTTTCTCTTTAAGCTTAAAGCCAAACCTAAGTCTGATAAAGACGAAAGAGAAGAATGAGACAGACTGGAAGCAGATTATTTGGTCAAATGCAACAATTTCTCTGTTTTATTCTCAATCAGAGGAAAGCCAATATGTTGTATTATTGTGTTGAAACAGCTCCACAACAATTTTTACGCACTTTGTATTTGCTTTTTAAGTTGAATTTTTCATTGGCAGGAATGTCTTGTCTTTTGCCAGGATATTTTGGAAGGAGGAAACCTTCGTAATGCCCTTCAGGAGCTTCAGCAGATCATCGTCACACCCATTAAGGCTTACATCCGACCCACTGCTGCTCAGCCTGCCGTAGAGACGGTGTCCTCTTCTTCAGAAGGCACGGAAACGGGAGCAGATAAAGATTCTGTGTCAGAGGGCTATCAGTCGCATAACCCACCTCCCTGTGACGGAGACTCCTCGGCCACGCCCATCTCAGAGGGAGACATCCCTGGGCAGTTCACACGTGTCATGGGAAAAGGTAGTGAAATAATTTGGAAGAAGAACAATCCCTGTCAGATTTCAAATCCCTAATTTGAATTTATTGATTGAATGAATTGGTGCTCATCAGGTCAGTCTCCACGTTGTTGACCTCATATGTGTGTTTTTTTTTACAGTGTGCACACAGCTGCTGGTTTCCAGACCAGATGAAGAGAACATAAGTTGTTATCTTCAGCTCATTGAGAAGTGTCTAACACACGAGGTAAAAACAAAACAAACACCTGATAAACACCATCTGCTGAGAACGAGTTAAGTATCAGATTCCTGGGTTTATGAGTGAATATGGTGCCCAAGCCAAATCTTCATCCATTTCACACAAGGAATGTTGTTCTCTAAGTTTAATGACATACAAGTGGCATAAACTACCTGCATTTCACAAAAATGCCTGACACATCAGGTAGTACAATTTTCCAATTCTTCAACTCAGGTTTGCTGCCAGGGTCCAAAAACATGCACTGTGGACTGGCCATGTTTAGGTGTAAATGGCCTGGTGCTGGGATGGCGACGTTTTCAGTGTCCCCTGCCTGTGGCCTAATATCAGCTGAGATTGCCTCGGCTCCCCCTATTATTTCCATAATCTGATAAAATGGTTAACAATCAGAGAAGGAATGAATACTTGTAGTTCATTGCTACACCCCTGCTGATACACATGCACCTGCTCCTCGCTGCAAGGGACACTCCAGTCCACAGATCCACACTGTGGAGATTTGTTTTTTTGTTTTCACCAGATGTCCTTCATTCATCTGCTGTGGTGTCACAGATTGAAGCCACGTAGAAGCCAAAATACAAAATGTTTGTTTGGTTTTTATTCTTACTAATCATATCTGAAGAACCAAATTGATTAATTTCCACCATCCCTTCTTCACGAATCATTAATCAATGATTTAAGTATAAATATTGAATAGATAATAATCTTACTGCTGTTAAGGAGCTACAAGCTTCAGTGCAGGTCACTAGGTTTCTGCCTGAAGTTGATTTGTGCCTGTTCAGACAATCAAACTTTCTTTCTCACTTTTACTTTCTTTTCTTTTTCTTTTTTGTCTCTGTTTCAGGCTTTTACCGAGACTCATAAGAAAAGGTTGGTTTCCTGGAAGCAGCAGGTTCTCAAACTGCTACGCCTGTTCCCTCGCAAAGCTATGATGGACATGCCCATGTACCGACAGAAAGGGTGAGACTCCAGACATTTTAGATTTCCTTCCGTTTAGAGGGAAAAGGGAAAGCCTTTTGTTTTACACCTTATAAAGTCCCTCCATTCCTCCTCACAGGAAGTCAGTTCAGTTCTTTTGAAAGCTCCTGAAATTAGTTTGACCCAGTTTTATATTTCTTTCTGTTTTCATTTTTCATCAGTTGGACGTACGGGTCCAACTCCCTTCCCACAGCAGGCTCTGTGAGCGGGGCTGCTGTGCGGCGAGGGCAGAGGCAGTTTCAGATGACCCCTCGTGGACTTCCAGCTGCACGCATCAATCTTCTGAGTCCTGGTGGGATTGGAGGAACATCTCCACGCCACACACTAACCAATCCTGTGCTGGCAGGCCAGGGTAGACAGGTTAGTACGCCGTCTCACAGAAGTGAAGCTCTGGCTTCTGAAATTACAAAATTTTAGGTGTTGAAATCTTTTACTTCAAACCACTCACTTTTGTCAGCATTATCTTGAGAGGATGATTTTTTAAAAACTCGTTACACAGCTGTAGTTCAGTATTTTTGTGCCTTATATAAAATAAAATGAATAACTTTTAAGAATAGGACATGAACGCTCCAGAAGTTCCATTCCGTGAGTTTAGGTTTCTATATAGTTATATGGTTTTAAAATCTTTGTTTAACTTTTTCTAACCATTCTGCTGAGTCTCGTCACCATCCCTCAGTCAGCGGGAATTCTCTAATGAGATTTTTTTTCCCTCCTCTATAGAACTTGTGGTTTGCCAACCCTGGGGGTAGTAACAGCATGCCAAGCCAGAGTCGCAGCACTGTGCAGCGAACCCATTCACTCCCCGTACACACCTCCCCTCAAACCATGCTCATGTTCCAGCAGCAAGGTACTGTTTAAGGTCAAACACGTTTTATTCCACAAAAAATTGTGTGTAACACAATTCAATTTTATATGCAAGACATTTTATTAACTCCATGGTCCAATCGGAACATTTAACTTCAGTGATTATTCTTGTTAACATTCTGTGTTGTTGGTGTCTCATAAGTATTGGAGTCACTTCAGCTTTGAGTAGACTTAGTGTACTTATATCGAGGCAAATCATACACTGCCCTCCAAAAAAAGGCCATCTCTCTAATCGTACACTGAAAATCTACTGTAAAGGCAGCTTGGTGGGCTGCTGGTGCAGTTGTTCGTATTCTCACTTTTACTATGACTTTTCCACAAAAATAATCTGGTCAACAGCCCTCCCCCTTAAGCAGATATTTGTATATTTTACCCCTGAAAATGTATGCTATAAAACATATTATGACATTTGTATGAAAATTGATTTGCCCTTCAGCCAAAAATATTTCTCTGCATTTCCTCAGAATGCCAAGTGCCAGGTACTGACTTGGAAATCAACCCCACGCTGGAGTCACTCTGCCTCAGTATGACAGAGCATGCCTTAGGAGGTAAGTGTTCTCAGGAGACCCGTACTGAATGTGCCATTGGCCATATGCTATACAACAAAAACTAAGAGTCCAGAAAAACAGAGGAGAAAATAACTCAAGTCACCTTTACAACCTGCCCTCTGCAAACACAGATTAAAACTGAATTTTAAAGAGTGCATGAAAGTCAGCTCAATCTTTAGTTTCAGTGTATTAGACTCCAGTTATCCAATGGATTGCATAATATTACAGTAAAGATAGATTATTAGACAGCAGAAATTAAAAGAAATAATTCCCTGTGTAAACTTTTCAGCTAATGCTCAATTTTCTCCTCGTGTTGAGTGTTTCATGTTGGAGATTCTTTTGAAAAGGTTATGTGAGACAACAGTCCATGTTACATTCTTTACTGACAGCAAGGCTTTTACTACAAATCAGTCACACATTTCCCATCAAAGTCTGTGACCCCCAGGTCACTATGGAGAACCAACAAATACAGAATACAAATGTCATTCACCTAAGCCCCAGTCGTCAGTGAGAATCGAGGGCTAAGGTCAAGTGTTGAAGAACCAGTCCTGCGGGATGGTAGTATGGCTATATGTATATGGTAGTGGAGAAAAACTGAGACAGTTTAAAACAGCTTCATAAGTACCATAAAAACCAAGGTTTGGCAGAATTCTGACCTCTTCACCTCTTTGTTAGTAGTATTTTGTAGTCTCTTAACAATCAAATGTGTTATCCCGAATTGACTCCCATATTCGTTCATCCGACATTTGAACTCATGGTAGTTAGGTGCAGCAAATACACTTTTATTCACACTGACTTTTAATTTGGGATTCGCTACGACCTAGATGCCCATTTTGTTGACATTCAGAAGGGGACAGAGCACATGTCAATTTACATGATTGCTTAACTAACGCTTAACTGGTCTAATTTTATACTGTTGATCTTATTCTGTATTTTACTGTTTGCAGAGGTGCTTTCAAGAGCATATTGATTTTTTAAGAATGAATTGTTAATGGTGTTGTTTTTTTTCTTTGATTGTATTTTTTTGTTTTCGTCTTCCTCAGACGGGTCAGACCGGACATCAACAATATGAACATAAGAAATAAAAAGTCCACCTCATGTGAGACCTGACCAGATCCTTATAACCCAGCACAAAGATGAAACATATGCTTCGGATAACCAGGCAGAACAGTCACTACAAAATGGAAAAAAAAAATGTGTATATGTTCTAATATTTTTGTACTTTATTGTATACAACTAAGTTTAAAATAGAATACAGATGATTATTATATTACAGTACAGGGAAAAAGTAAAGGTAAACTGTGCAAATTGCTCCATGTCACCTGCAGGACTGTGACATGAAGTAAAGAGTTTCACTTTTCCCCAGTCTGGCAGGAAATGTTCGGTCGGTGCTGTTCTCAAGGGGTTCTGCCCAATAACATAGGTTTCTTTATGACTCCCACCTTGAAACAAGCTGTTGTACCAAGAAAACACAACAAAGTGTGTACACTTGTAATTTCCCTCCAAAAGTAAGACCCTCTTTGAAATTATTGTTGATATTAGGCACTAATTTTGACATGTAGGCTGGGGATTTAACAAGGACCCTATCCTAAACAAAAACCAGATTTGTTCTACAACCAGCGCCAGAGAAAGCCTGTGTTGACTCATTGGTTCTATAATTTATCTCAAGATAATGTTTTTCTGTTGCTGCCAAGGCAAAGCAAACAGCATTTAAAAAAGGGTCTTATTTTCACTGAATCTCGTATCGTAAAATCTTGTATTTTGGTTGATATCCTTGAAGATGTAGTCAAAGGAAAAGTGACTGTCCTCATCTAAACTTCTACAAAGCCAAAGAGAAAGGGTTTCTTCTCCTTAAAGCTGCAGTGTGCAACTTTTGTCTGTCAAATTTGTCTGTTTTCTTTTTCAGTTCGGTCTCAGCGCCACCTGTCATAGGAAGATATGTCTAATTCTAAATGTACTTTGTGCTGGAAACATTTATTTAGTAGCTGATCATAACATGGTGCAGAAAAATGTAAGAGTCAAATCCATTTACTTTTAACAATTACATTTGGGTTTTTTGTGTTTGGAGCAAAAGTGCAAATATAACTGCAAAGATGGGAAATCCAGTACATTTCAGTTTTAGTGTCAGTGACACCTATGTATTTCAATGAGAGCATAAATAAAGTAAAAAATAAAGTTGTAAAATTGGTCCTGTGAGTAAGGGCTGCAACTGAAGCACTATAATAGGCTACATATGAAATCCAGAGTCTTGCTTTAGCCTTTACTAATAACCAGTTCAGTGCTCGGCTGGTTTTGGGAGTAACAAAGCGTGGTTTAAGAATGAGGTTGATTCTTAATCAGAACCAAGAATTATTTCACAGAACCCTGGGTACAGTCACAGTCTTTGACTGTTCTCCCGTGGAACATAATGTCAGTTTGTTACAACTACATATTGATGAAACCTTGACAATGTAGGTTAAAAGTAAATGGGAAAATGCTGTTCAAGTTCAACACCACTGTCAGGTAGTTATGTGGCCAGTGTCCAACTGGGGATTCAAACCTTAAACCCTTCAAAAACGTTGCTTCCAAAAGCAGTCCAATCTGTTACAGTTGTGTTCCTGGACCTCTCATTTACCTGTTATGTCTGTGCAGCTTATGGGTTCAAAAGGTGCCCTCTACTTGTACTGTTCAGTTGCTGCACCTTTAGCACGCCTTGGCAATGGAAATTACACTGACAACGTTCAAACCGACTTCATATTGCATTCTAAAGTTTTATTTTCCTGTAGCATTTTAGCCACTTAACTCCTAGCACAACAGTGCTCTTGTGTTTCATCCTTGTTTTTACAGCCTGGACATGGAAACGGAAATATTTCCTTCTCAAAGTGTGAAAAAATCTTTAATTACGAAAACTGAAAGTCTATGGAACATTTTTTTGGAAACACATTGGAATGTAGTTTAAAAGGTGACATTCATTTTAATCCAAAAGATTCACACTGCAGCTTTAATATGAGAAGTAACGAGAAAGATACAGAATGGTATACTTATGTTTTTTTTAATGCAGTTTGAAGAATATTTGTCAACTGCAATTTTTCCCTGTTTTTTTTTGTTTGTTTGTTTGTTGTTGTTTTTTTTGCCGTACTACATAAATGATGATGAATCTCATTTTGTGCCAAGGAATCCCTGTTGTGATAAAAGGCTGCTGTTGTTTGTGCTGTGCATGAGCTGTTTTGATATAACATTAGACAAGAGTGGAGTGTTTGAAATATTCACTCTCTTACTAGGTGAGCCTGTGGGCCCCCTCGTCAACGGCTTTGAGAAAACAAACGTTGACGTAGAGGTGGTGAAATGCTCAGGTGCACAGCACTGCTCGCCCTCAGATGGCCAAAGTGATGATTTGATGACTCATTCTCTCAAGGTGCTTGACAGTGTACACATTTTTTTGTTTGTGTCTCGACGTGTTTCAGTCTCAGTACCTGAACATTATCATGTGGTTGTCAGTGTTGAATTGAAAAAGTCTTATACAGCCTCTGTCTTTGAATGTGGCAGAGCCAGCCTGGTGGTGCGTGTTCTGTGAAATATGCTCCTAACTTTGCGAATCACTCATGAGGCAGGGATATACACTTTCATTTTTATGCCATCGCAGCCATAGGAGAGCATTCTTGTTTTAGAAATGATTCTTCACAAATATCTTTTCCTCTTTTTGTTTTCCTCTCCTTTGATATTGATGTTTTGCTTATTTTCTATAACCCAGCACTGTTAGAGATAGACAGAGTTTGGTGGCAGAAATCTTGCAACTTAAATGGTTGTTTATAACACCTTACTGTCACTGTTTACATCTGTCAGTTCAAGTAATGTGATGCTACGAAATCTTCCATCTCACAGTTTAAAATGGTTGAAAAAACAGACCTAAGCCCTCTGACAGAAACGTTGGTTGGGTAGACTCTGACCAGGGGTGTCACTTTTGTCCAAGTTTAGATATCAGTTTGCAAAAAACGACAACAACAAAAAGAGAGTTTATACTTCATGTATTGAAACTTTCCAGTACAACTACATACACGATAAATGCAGAACTTCATGTCATCTGTTGGGGGTTGCTGAGAGATCAGCTTGGATGTTCCCTTTGCTTATCAGTTAAAGAAGACAGTGATCCTATAATTGTTATTTACAGTTTACAGCTAAAGCTTAACAATACTGGGATGAAACGATCTGCTTCTTAACTACATTCTACAGAACTTAAAATCGTCCTTTTCCTGAGCTGCCATCTCTAATTGGTCAATTGTTACACATCATTTCTTCTGAGACACCATGAATGTGTGCTTTGTTTTATTGAGATAAAAACTCATTGGATTTAAACACATGACCACATTCTTTTCATTAAAAAAAATCTCCATTTCTATTAACCATACCTTATTCTTAGTAAAGAGAACAACAGGACCCGGAATCCCTAGTTTTTGCACATTATTGTTACTTTTTGACACTTTCTTCTGCCTACTAGTGCAAATATCCTGATCGTTGTAAGGTACGTCACGTAAAATTCATTGAAACTTGTTTGTTTTTTTTTCTCTTGGTAAAGTGACAGTTCTGACCATTTCTACCCTGACCTGCAAAAATGGACATCTATTGAGTCTATGAAGGTTTTTTTTTTTTTTTGCGAGGGGTTCAAATGACACCTGACCTTTTCTTCATGCATGCATGTGATTAAACTGTTTGCTGTTGTGTCCCCCAAAAAATGTGCATGTAGTTGTGCCAGAAATGCCATACGATCCAGATGTCTCACTAAGGTGGTCTTGAGTAGTCGTGGATTTCTTCAGAGCAGGCTCTTGGATTGATCTGACTTACTGAAAGCATCACACTCCTGTCCACACATGGCTCTGTTAATACTTTTAAAACCTCTGTAGTTTAGGCACAGTCTACTGAAATACACAGGGGTACCGTTGCAACAGATTTCTGTAGAGTGGCAGCATAGGGTGATGATGCTTATCTGAGCCACAAATGGTGTGATTGTGAGTAAACTGAACACTAACAGGCCCAGGATACGTTTACACCATGTTTACATTCCAGTGACACATGAGACTGAGTAAGAGAAATGCACTTCATTTTACCCTGGTGTATTTTTTTAACACACACAAGCTTCCACCGGGTGGTACAGAGGGTGCATGGTAAATTGATATACCTACCAAGTGGCTCGGAGATCACATCCATGTCCCTGCCAGGCTTAAACATTGAATTAATGCAGCCAGCTGCAGGCTATGTTACATATGTTTGTCTTGTTAAATTTCTATTTAATTCTAATGACTTCCCATCTAATATTTTCTAATATTTTATGAACCTTTTGCATCCCATGCTTACACTCTACTTTTTTTACTGTTGTGAATGGTCTAAGTGCAGCATCTGCCATTTTGAGAGTCCAAAATAAAAAGAAAGGTTCACTTCTTTGCAACTAGATGCGTGGTTTGTTTACACTTGCTTTGTTACACATTATAAACACTCCCTCTAATAATCTCTTTAGAAAAGGAATTCTTCAAATGTATTCTTTAAATTGTCTGATTCCACAGTCATTAATATTGAATGAGTTGAAATAGGTTTGAACTGAACATTGTTTTGTTATATTTTATCCATATGCTTTTGGAATGTACACAAAGGACCTTAACTGAGAGAAAACATGGTTCATACAAATGAGGCAATAGGATTGTAAAAAAAAAAAAAAAGAAAGAAACAAGCAATTATCGAAGTAACCATCATATAGAGAGTATCTTTTCCATATGCTTATATTACATTTCGACAAACTAGTGGCGCATTACACTGCAACACCGGCAAGCTGCAGTTATATTCAGTAAATTATGCTGGAATGGGTTTCAAACGTACAGCCTGTGGGCCAGAATTGCTCTGACAAAAGGTTTAATAGGGCTCAAGAGATATTTAGATCTTAGTCTGAGATTAAAGCAGGTTTTGTACATTATCAGGATCAAAAACTCCTAATTCAGTTTATATGTTAATTTATTATCTGAACTGACTATTTTGTCTGTTCAGATAATAAATTATGATTATTATTATTATTATTATCAGACCCAAATACTTAAAATGCTGCACATTCTGAGGAATTACGATTAATTACGATTGCTATCGATTTTAGATATTCATATTTCAAATGCCCTGAATATAATATAAAGATTTTGACTGTCTGTTAAATGATAAACATTTCAGAGGTTTTTATTTTCTTCCACCATCCATATTTTAGTCATTTCTATAGTTATTGTTTAACATTAAAGTATACTTGTTGTTGATGGCACTTCAACACATACATTCATGTTTTTACATTTTGTTGCTTTCATTTCTCAATCGTTTGCAGAATGAACTGGGTCTTGGTTGAGTGCGTGCGTAACGTAAGCGGAATGACGTTTTTTCTGTGGTGTCACGTGGCTGACACTTCCGGCAGCTGTGTTCATTTAGCATGCTAATGTAAGATAGGCCGTTTTATTCACTTGAATAGTTTAACATGAAAAGAGACAGAAGCTGGTTCCTCGGAAGAGTTAAATTCCACCATGAAGACAAGTCCTCTGTTGTTGTCCAAAAGGACTGAAATGAGTATTTGTAAGTACGAATGTACATGTCTCCTGTAAAAAAAGAAATAAGCAGCTAACTGAGCTTCCCGTTGTCGTTAGCACCCGGTGGCTTAACCACTGTGGCATTGAAGCTAATACATCTAAGGACGTTTGTAACTAACAGGGGCGGTAATATTCGAATAATAAACGAAATAATTAGACTAAAACTGGTATATTTGGCTTTTTGTTAGGATATTTCGGCAGAAACAACTCCCTTTCTACTTTTGGTGTGATATTTGGGAGGACAGAACCAAGCGTTAAGTTTAATGCCATTTAAAGTACTCTCTCTTTCAGTTTAAGCCACATTCCAAATATCCCCCAGCCCTATTATTACGTATAAAACAGAATTTTTGGCTGGTGATGACTTTATGTTCGTATTTGGTGGCAGTGGGGACAAAATTTGCTCTTTTGACGGTGAAGTAGTGTTAATTACTGAAATATTTCGTTGTACCCCCGTGTTACAATGACAGTACTGTAAAGACTATTCCATTCTAATCTAAAATTATGCTTCCTTGTAACCTTCCTTTAAAACCTTCCCCTAAAATAACTGAAAGTTTAACATTGGAAAAAAGTTTAAAAAAATATGTGCATAAAATCTCTTGAAAATTAAAAAAATATTAACTCTAGTTGCTTAAAAGGTTTGACATGTTGTTGTACAGTGCAGACGTCAGTGTTTAGAACTTAGTGTTTAGTACCATCTCCTCCCGGTGCTCTTCTCCTCCATCAGCCATGTTTACTCATGCTGATGTTTTAAAACACCTATGCCAGAATCAACCTATAAGCCTCTGGAAACGGTGGGCAGAGATCAATGTGTCAAAATAATTTCAATAATAACCTTTTTTTCAATTAAGTGTTTTTGTGACTATATGGAGTTAAAATCAAAATAATAATTAAACATCAAATAATGACAGAGGCCTAACGTGAAGTTGACTTTTCTTTTGCAGATTCTTCATAGTTCCTTCATCCACCTTGCGTTTAAAAGCGATAGTAACTTCTTGGATAAGGGATGGTGAGGGGAAATCACTTGCTAATAGCTTACTTCTATAACAAGTCATCCTGTGGCAACTTCCTGGACACTACCTGTTCCCATTTATCAATTAATTCATTATGTCACTACCAAATGAACAGTGGAACAGAGGGAAGGATCGTGAGAGAGGGGCCCGTCCCAAGGTGAGACAGAGTCGGTCAGAAGAAAGACGGGACACAGGCAGTGGACGAAAGGGTGGAAAAGGGAAGAAGAAAGGTCTCGCCTGCCATGAACCAGCAGCTGAAAGGCCTGTCAGCGATGGCTTTGAGTATGGTGAGCTGCTAGGTGACCTAGAGTCCAGGGACCAATCATCTTCTCCTCAGAAAGAGACCTGGAGATGGCAGGGTTTTGACACAGACTCTTCTCTATTAGGACAAGAAAGAGTTTCAGGCAGGCCTGGACTAGAAACTGTCAACTCTGTTAGCGATCTACCTGCACCAAGTGAAGGTGACAGCAGAGCAAGCAGCGGTCGCTCTCTGCGACAGAAAATCCAAGATGCAATGGGGCAGTGTTTCCCAATAAAGACACACAGTGCTGCAGTTCCAGAACCACCCCCACAGGCTCTTTCATCAGCTGCTGCCTGTGCCTCCTCGAGGCGCAAGATCCATCTGAGTGAGTTGATGTTGGATGACTGCCCGTTCCCTGTTGGATCAGAGCTGGCTCAGAAATGGTATCTCATTAAACAGCACACAGCTCCCATTACCCAGGCTCCCATTCTTGACTCACCAGTAGTGTGCAGTGCTCCAACTTCAACCCTGGCGAGTGTCGTGGATGACGTAGACGATAAATTACGTGAGCGCAGGCGCATTAGCATTGAACAAGGTGTTGAGCCACCGCCCAATGCTGAAATTCACACGTTTGAGGTGATGGCCCAAATTAACCCACTTTATAAACACGGTCCAAAACTGGCTCATGGAATGAATGAGCTTTCAGGAACTGACAGTCTCTCTGCTCATCAGCAACAGCAGCTTCTTCTACAAAGACAACAGCAGCACCAACTGTTGCTACAGAACTGTTTGGACACTCTGGATGAGGTGGTGGCTTCAGCCTCTGCCTCCGTTCATCCATGCAATACCATCCCTGACCCTGTGGTTGACCCAGTGGGTAAAACGACCAGCTTGTCCTCCACAGCTGTACTTCCTCCAACTGAGCATAACAAACCTCACGATGGCTACCGCATTCACACGCAGATTGATTACATTCACTGTCTAGTTCCAGACCTGCTGCAGATCACAAACCTCCCGTGTTACTGGGGGGTCATGGACCGTTACGAAGCTGAGAGGCTTCTAGAAGGGAAGCCCGAGGGCACTTTCCTCCTCAGAGACTCTGCTCAGGAAGACTACCTCTTTTCTGTCAGCTTTCGACGCTACGGCCGCTCGCTGCACGCACGCATCGAACAATGGAATCACAATTTTAGCTTTGACGTGCATGACCCCAGTGTCTTCCATGCATCCACAGTAACAGGCCTTCTGGAACACTACAAGGATCCCAACTCTTGCATGTTCTTCGAGCCCCTGCTTTCCAACCCCATTCATCGCATGCAGCCATTCAGTCTGCAACACATCTGCCGTGCTGTCATCAACAGCTGCACCACATATGACGGCATCAACATGCTTCCCATTCCGAATGCTTTGAAAAAGCATCTGAAAGAATACCACTATAAACAGAGGGTGCGTGTTCGCAGGATGGACACCTGGTGGGAATGAAGGCAAAGTGAAAAACTCTTATATACACTATATTATGTATAACGCAAGCCATATTTTCACCAAAGTTGGTACACTACTGAAAGTGCACTAAAGCAAAAATCTGTAATTTGGTCATGCACTTGATTCTTTGTCTCAAAAGAAAAAGTACAGACAGTAAAGACACTTGATACAAATGATCTACCTGCAAAGCATTCCAAATAAGTTGGGACAGATGGGTTTTTTTTATCACAGACTGTCTTTGGCACATAAATTCTCAGCAGCACAACATTTCTTCACACTATAGATATTTACTGTTAATCTTTGGAGGTTAGGAGGGGGTCCCACGGGTTATGGGTGTGATATACCAGTGCATTTTGGCTCATTGTTTAACCAGTCTCAATATTTGAGCCTAATTATCAGGCTGACTGCTAAACCTACCAGAATGTTATCTTTCTATGACTTTTCTGTCTTACTTTATCGCAGTCCCAATCTTTTAGAGTGAGTTACATGTATAAATTCCATGTTGTGATTGGTAAATGAGAAAAGATAGTTTTATTTATTTATTTTTTTTAATTTAAAGTTTACCTTTTTTAACAAAGGTGTGAATTACTAAACTACAGATTGGTTTTTGTGTCATCTTTAGGTAGTGTACCAACTTCCCTGGAAATGAAGTTTGTACATTAACAGCATTAGAAAACTGAACAATGAAGGTTCTTCACTTGATTTGGCTGTACACTGTATTTTTTTTAATTTATTTTTCTTTCTGCTGTACACGTCTTAACTAAACTAGTAATAGCACTAATAATCTTGGTGATCTTGCACAGTCCTGAGTTCTTCAGGCTCCTACATGCTGTTCAGAGAACTAACCTGAAGTGCATCAGAAGCAGCTTTGTTATCTGACAACGGGGGAAATTGCACACAGTGGAAACTGTGGAAATCAAGATGATTATTGTAGAATCATCAGCCACGTGCTGAGCAGGTAGACAGAATTGTGGAACTGCCTCCCATCAATGTAATTATTTGCTGTTTTCCACACATACAATAAGTGATTGTCAGAGGTAGGAGTGCCTACTTGTTTTTTATGATGGATTTTTCTCAAATATTGGCAATGATCACATGCCTGTTTAACAAATAACCGTGTAAGAGCCCAACTGGTTTTTACAAGGTGGTCTTAAATGAATGCCATATGTGTAGACATTGCACCGTTCTGTTGCTGTTTCCCCCTGCATCATCAAACCATCTGTGCTTCTCTCTCAGGTTAATTGACATGCAGCTGGCACTAGTTGTATTCATTAAGTTTGAAGTATACGTAGGATCCAATGTCAAACATACAGTGTTGTTAGGAACTGAAATGACAAAGCTCAGACTGGAAATGAATTCCAGTAAAATTTAATCACAGAATGTTCACTCGCGTGTGTGTGTTTCCATCCGCTGCTGTTAGCAGTTTCTCCACAGATGTATTCACAGAAACTGTGCCAATTTCTGAAAGGACTCTGAACACAAACTGAGATACTTCAATCTCTGTTGTCAAATCACCAGTAATGCCTTGCAAATAAACACAGAAATCAGAATCATTCTCTCGCCTCAAAACTTTTTCTAAAAATATGAAGAATACATTCCATAAATGTGTAGATGCAGACCATGCAATAAAAACTGTTAGTTATCCTCTTGGTTGTTTTAATTTATTCTTTGTTTTTGGTTCTGTAATTTAAACAAGTCAGCACTTATACTAAAGGTAAAATTAACTATACAATTTCTACAGTTGTTTTAAATTCTTGATTGTCAGGTCTCTGTCTTAAAAATCACTCCTGCGCTGTTTTTTTTCTTTTCTCTTTGATATTAACAATATCAGAACTCACTGTTGTTGATCTGTCCTGTTTATCTGGGCCCAGCTCTCAGACCTAAATATGATAAAAAGTGAAAGGATGGATGGATAAACACAAGCTCAGTGTTTTTGGTCTGTTTCTCTGTCAATAGTACTGTTTCTTTCACATACTCATTATTTACACAATAATCAAACAGTATACATTGCTTTCAGTGATTTAATGTCATTGATTGTGTTGTGGGAACTCGTCAGTTGGAACCTCTGTGTTTCAGTGAGAGTCTGACAGTATGTTTGCTGCCTTCTCTGTCTCGCTTGTTGCACATTAGCTGTGATCCAGCACCTCAGCTTTAATCAATTTAGAAGCAGTAACATAAAACATACCAAAAGCAATAACAAAACACTTTGTGGATAATACTGTGGTCATTGTCAAAAAGTAACACAAGTAATATAGCAAAAAATGCTAACCCTGTGCACGCATATTCATTTTTATCTCTGGTAACACTGATTTTTCTGTTTGGTGTCCTGACATTTCAGCATACCTATTAAAACAGACTTAACTGAATTCTGGTTTGTTGTGACGCTTGACTATGTCAGTCCCAGCTCTGTTCTCACAAGCTCCTGAGCTAGAGTTTTCAATTAATAAATATGTAAATGTATATGAAATGCAGTATTTCGTGATAAAATAACCCTTTACTGTGATATCAGGAGTGTCCTGGTCAGAAACCTGCATATTAGCAACACCTTGAGTTATTATTAGCATCTAGAAAGTTGGAACACTGGAAAGATCAGCAGTAAACAGCATAAACTCAGCTCTACAGGAATACCAACTAACACCCTGCACATCGAAAGTGACAGACACTGATTGTGGATAATGATTGCCTTACGCCTTTGAGCATGGCACATGGAGAGATAGGAAGAGAGACTTTGATCATTCACTTCAGCAAAGTTCCATCTTTCTGATGGAGCTGTGGATAAAGCTAAAAGATAGGATAATCAGTTTCTCTGTGTGTGTTGGTTTCTGTCTATGAAACTGATAGGCAGTTGGAAACAGGAATCCGTATGAATTGGTTTTTCTCATCATTGATAACACCTTTCATATTATTCTCCATCCTTTTGCAAAAATACACTTTCAGACTCGAACACCAACCCACGTTCTGCTATTACCTGTTACCAGCTACTGCAGTGCCTCCTAAATCATAGGCAATTTTCTTCTGCCACAACCAAATATTCAAATTTTTTGACGTATCATTCCAGAGGCTGCTGAATCATCTGGACAGCTGTTCCTTTGTCTTTGTTTAAAGGCGACCATCTTGGCCTTGTTCTTCAGTGTCCTCGAAGAACATGTTTGGCAAGACTTCTGTGCTGCTGATGTTGCTTGACATCCTATTTTGAAGTAAAGTTAGAATGTTCTGTCTTTTATCTGCTGTACTTGGTTTCCTTGGCTGATCTTACTCTGGTCCAGTGGGCCAACTTTAAGTCTAGTTTAGGCTGTAATGAGTTTTTTGCTAAGTTTTTACCAAATATCACATATTTCAGACATTTATGTTTTATATTGGTTTTGGGGTTGGTTTTTTATAGTTAATGTTTTTATATAATTATATTTATTAAAATGACTCTTAAGCTAATTTGTTTAACCTACTGAAGATGCTTAAGGCTAAATCCTATTGAATACGTGTAAATGCTTGGGAGGTTTTAGTGAAATTAATAGACCCCTCAAGCTAATTTGTTTGTTTTTGGTTGTCTCTCAGGTTTTTTTTCTACAGTTCCATGGTGTCTTTTGGCTAATTATCAGTAATCTTTATTTGCCTTATTGCCAACCAGTTATGTTATTTATGAAAAACTCCAATCCCCAGTCTCTCTCTTTCTACACATACACATTAATGTATATTTATCTATAAGACTCTTTACGTGAGCCTTTTGTTACATGAATATTCTCTGTGTTTCCTGTTGTTGCTGCTGGCAGCAATGCTATTAATGAGAGTCAGTGTCCAAATCCATGGTTTCACGGGTTGGTTTAACACCATCATTAGCGGCTGTGCGCCTGTCATGATTCATTTTCACCTTGCATTTGTGCTCCTGTAAAGGAGGGAAAGGCGTAGACATGGTTAAGAAGATGAACTGGAATGCATCTTTCATGCTCTTACATTGGAACGCAAGCATTTTTCTTTCTTCTGTGATTAACTGTGACTGTGAGCCTCAGTTGGCTGCCTGGTGCTGCTGAGGTTACCTGACTGCAAAGGTACATTTTAACCCAAATATGTTTCGGATAAACACAGGGAATTATAAATGGCCAAGCTCTACGTTTTTAATCTTCTGTGGCATATTTGTGTTATTTCTCTTAGAGTCAATCCCTCACCTCCATGCCAAGAGACTGAACACTTTCTAATGAGACAAATGTCACCATATTATGGTACATTGCACCTTTCACATTGAAAATTACACATAATTGGTTATTATTTAACAAGGTTCATATGTCTACTAGTGTCAATTTAGTCCTGTATTTACTTACAAATTTAGACAAAACAGTAACTGCAAATCAGGATGTCCATGTTAAACTGCTAATTAACGTGAAGTTGGTGAGTCGTGCGACCAGAGATTGGGTCCCGTCACAATTGGGTTTCAGCAGAAGTTGGACTTTGTTCCGCTTTGCATAAACAAAGTTCCCATTATAGTGCTTGAAAACACATGGTTACACAGGTGCATCAACATATACTGAAACTATCATGCTTCTAATTAAATTTGGATGAAGTGTCTCCAATATACAAAACTTTATTTTAAACCCTATTATTATTTTTATTTTAGCAGAAGTTATATAAATATTTTTAAAATAACACTTTATTTACAATACGTGTAAACTGTAAAACACAATTACAGAATAAAACGTTAGAGGTATAGTAAGCAGAATTTAGTGGTTAACATTTTCTTCCTTTGTGTTCTCTTTATCTCAGCACAGCATGAAGGAAGGAAACACAGTGTAAAACACATTATAAACATACTCAGAATGCATTGTATTTGTAAGTGCAAATTGCTATGGTGCAAGGGACACAGCAGGTGGCTGTAAAGAGCTTTTGTTGTAGCTGGCCTGTGTGTATGTGTTTTTTCTTGTTTTTTTTTTTTTTGAGGGAGCAGGGTGGGACGAGACGTCCGCTTAGTTGATGATCATTGGCTAAGGCTGAGTAAGGTTTCATGGTAAGCCAATCAGAGGAAGTGTTTACACTAAATCTAACACGCACACAGCCGGCATACACCCCCAGCTAGCAAAGGTGAGTGGATGCAATGTCGTGTCTGAAAGGCAAGTTGGCGTTTTCAAAATGGCCATACAGGCAGTACTTCAGTCTCCTTGAGGTAAAAGGCAAGAAAGTACATGCGAAGTGTACATTATGCCGCGGAGTGAAGTGTTTCCACGTCCGTTGTAAGCCACTGTATTGTAATGAATCGTCTCTCAACAACACACACTTCTACAAACGTAGTAGCCAAAACCACCGTTGTTGACACTGTTGACTATGACAGCGAGCCTGATGTGACCGTATAATTTATTTAATGAGGTAAAGCACGTCATAGTTAAACATTTTTACTTTATTTTTTTAAGAAAATACATTAACTGTTAGTATGTACAGAGAGTTTATATTGTTAAACTGTATTTCTGTCATGAAAATACTTGAAGCACACTATATCTACCAGTTGTGGTCTGTTGAGGTGCATTAAATATATATAAAAATTCTATATAAGTACCTGTCTATACAGTTCTGGCTTGTAAAACTCACTGAGAGAAAGAAAAATGAAATTCTTAGTTTTGTTTAAACTTAGTAACACAATAGTTACTTTCCCTGGGAACTAGTTACTTTTATTGTGTAGTATTTCAGTTAATAACTTTGTTACTTTTTGGGAGAAGTAACTATAACTAATTACTTTCTAAAGGTAATGCGCCCAAAGCTGGTTGAGATGCTGGGGATCAACTGCAGCAGCAACATCATCAGTGGCAGCAGCAACATCAGCAGCAACATCATCATCATCAGCAACATCAGCAGCAACAGCATCACCATCAGCAGCAGCAGCAGCAGCAGCAGAAGATAGTCTCTTTCATCATGCAGGTAGAACTATTCCTCATGGGAGAACAAACAGAGGTCTCTTCTTTGCCTAAGGCAAACCCAAAGCTGATTGGTCACACGTACCTGCTGTGTTTGTGCCTGTTTAGACCCCCCCACCCCCACCCCTTTAACAGTCAAAGAGCTTTTTGTCTGAGCCTATAATCTTTGAATTAGAGCACTATGAGGGTGGAGAATAGGCTTATAATGATAATGATAATGGCTGAGGGACTGCTATATTCACAAATAATCTCAGTGCCATAATCTAACAAAAATGCCTGACAGTGTTTAGTCTCGGGTCCTTTGAGTCAGAGAACGTGCACAGCAGCCAAGTATTTTTGTAGGTCTGCAGTACGGCTGATCTGTGGACCTATAAAAATGTTCACACAAATATACCTTGTATCTAGGACATAAATTTAGGGAAGGACTTATGAAAACTGCTTTCTAATTCTGGTAAGATGCATAGAGCAACTCATGCTTTTTCGGCTCACAGAGGAGGAATACATTTGGGTCGGTGACAGAGGAATCACTGCAGCAGCAGGAGTAGCAGTGAGAGAGAGAGAGAGAGAGAGGGAGAGGGTTATTTTGGTCAGCAAATGAATATGAACTGAACATCATCCTTACTCATGAACAACAGCATTTTTTGCCAGTTTCACTCAAATCAACTGACAGACTTTAAATAAGACTGTCCTATGTTCTCTGCCAATCACTCCTATAGCTGAAGGCATTAAACTTGAATTTCTGGATTTATACATATTTTAATATCTCTATCTCTGTGTATAAAATATACAAAACCAAGGATTTTTGGACAGTTCCAGATTCAGAATTTATATATTTTGAATTGCCATCACTGCCCAATGTAACAGGATGAAATTGACCTTTAGAGATACTTAACTCTTGACCTCTTGTCCAGAGAGGCGAGGCGAGATGTTTTCCTGATTGTTTAAATGTATTTCTTGGATGTGTTTAAAGTGGAGTAAGCTTTTTGTGACAATTTCCCTCAACATACAAGGCACTGAATTTTACTAATTAACGTAGATTGTAGTAACATGCCCTCCTTGCTCAATCATTTGCTTTGACACGTTATTGATGATTTTTGTTTTGTGGTATGAGTGTCACAGCTTTACAAGTGAGGACATTTGTAAGATTGGAGGGCAAAAACATACATAATACCAGCCCATATATAATGCTCACTTAGATCCATGGAGCCCTCAAGCAGTAATGTGGACATAGTACAGTGAGATTATAGCGCTTGATCATTTATCCAGTTTTGCAAATTAACACAACCTGTCATTTGATGTATGTGGTTGGAATGTGTGCCTGTGTATTTGTACATCAGAGCTATTAATGGAGCCCCAGAAAATACTGATAATTATGATAATGGTAATTACAGATAAACACTGTTTGCTCTGAGTGGATAGAATGGTTAATGATAAGCGGCGTTTACAATGACAATACTGCGGATTGCAATCGATCATTGGTACAGGTGCAGGGTTGGTGAGGGGAACTAATGACAGGAGATGCAGGAAAAGAAAATAAATAGAGAAAAGTACAAAACAAATACAGCAATGCCTCAGAGTTACCCTAGTGATACCTTTCAGGAATTATAAAATTGCCCTGTAATATTTATTGTATAATTGGGATTTTTTTTCAAATTCTGTGCTACACATTTTTTTCTGTTAGACAGTATATATATCAGTAACACAGACTGCACTCCCAACATTTCTGGTTATGGTACTGATTTAAAAAAAAAACAGACTCCTGGCTCCCTTCTGATCAGAGAACAACACCACAGTCATGGCAGAACTTCAACAGAACTCCTATGGAGTGTTGTATCACACCAGGTTGATTGCTAATCTGTTATTGTCTAAGCATATTCTGCGTGATTTGCACGTCTATGATTTATCACACACACACACACATGCATATATACATTTATACATACTGTATATATATCTATATATATACACACGCTTACATATATATCCTAGAATAACCATACATCTGCATATTGTAACATCATAATCATAATTTAATTTACTATTGTAATGAGTCTGGTTCTGCTGTTTCCCTGCCAGCAGCCATGACAACGTCTTCACCTCCCACCTACGTATTTTACAGAAACAACTTGACTTATTGGTTAAGGCAGTGTTGATAATATCTGGGAAACTCTTTAATCCCTGAACTGCACCTTTAAACACAATTAAATAAAAATAATTAAATAAAATAAAAACTAGAGAAAGAATAAACGCATCTTAACCTTGCCAGCAAGTAATTTTCAGAATCATCATTCCTCACAACACGCAGCTGTAATGTTTGTCCTCCAGGTTTTCATATTACAGCAGTTTGTCACACAGCTGTGAAGTTTAATTTACAACTAAATATTCGGTTGGAGAACTGACACCTCAGTGATCTGAACCTGAACTCTCTAAGAAGATTACGCAAACCATAACAAATCCTCTGCATTACTGATGTGCACAAAAGTGTCTTGGAAATGAAAAGTTCTTCACAACCTGGTGCACCATAATGTTGTGTATGATATTTTGGACGATTTATTTTCCTCTTCTCCAGACAATCACAGCAGATTAGCAGAATTTCCATCTTGCTTTATCTCTTTCCTTCTTCATGTCCTCCTTCACTACTTCCATAAATATTCTGTATGGTCTTTCATGGTCCCTTCTACCCAGCATTTCCATCTCCAACATCGTTTTTCCAATATAAACTCTACATCTGTAAACTACCAAACTACAAACTCCTTAAACTTGTCAGTTACTCTGGTCTCGTCATTTTTAATCTTGGCTTTTCTGGTCAAAATCTTTACGACTTCACCTCTCCTTACTTTCAGACACCTTCAGGATCTCCAAAGTATTCAGAACGGCATGTCTCATGACTTTCCATCCTGTTTTAACAAAACTTTAATCAACTTCTATTCAGTAAAAGCCCTAGGTGCCTCAGTTTATCCTCCAAAAATAAGGTCAGACCTGAAGGCACCATAAAATATCAACCTGAGTTAATGCTGCCTCTGTATCTGCTTTGGTCGGCCAAAAAGACTTGGAGCTAAGGGCTCCTGGGCCTCGTCGCTTCTTGTTGTAGCACAAAGGCCAGTATGAGGCAAGTGACCTAAAAAGTGTGGAAATGGCACTTTTTTATCGATACCACAGAATCGATCCAATCACTCCCAAGGCTAGTCTGTAGACCAGAAATCTTTTGTCCCACGTATGTAACCGTCCTCCATGACTTCTAGCCACACAATGGAACAGAAACACCAACAAAAAACTCCATTACTCTCTGTTGTCCGTCTGTCCTCCTCCATGTCCAATTGTTTTATTATTAACTCTTCCACGTTCACCTTCCTAGTCTTTATCACCCTAACCTTGTCTTTCTCTCCCCAGATGTCTGTTTCATTTTCTCTTTCCTTAATGACCAATCCCTCGTGGAGTTCCTTCTTTCTGACTACTTTGCTGTCTCTTTGTTACCTTCTTTCTTTGATTGCTCTCTTGTACTTCCCCATTCAAACGCTGTCTTTCATTGTTCCTTCTTCTCTGACCTGAAGCCATGACAAACTGCTTCCTGCCTGTTTCTTTTACTAGCGCCGTTGTGCCTTTGTAGTCCTCTGTGTTCTCGTCGATACTCCTTATTCTGTTTTCACCATTTTGTGCTTGGATAAGCTTTGACTCACTTCCTCCTCTTTGTGTCCATTGGCATTTTACACATTCCAGTCATGCTGACTAGTCGCTGTACACCCTCTCTCTGCACCACTTAACAATCTCTTTCATGTTGCATGTCTTGGATATACTGTATATACATTTTTTTTCTCAGTGCAACTTCTTCTTCTGTTACTCTATAGCCCAGCCTCTTCTCATAATACACGCTGACCACATGTTACTCTATAGCCCAGCCTCTTCTCAAAATACACGCTGTTTTATCCTCTTCAAATCCACATTCATAGTCCTGTAGCTCCTCCCTCCTGTGTCTGTAGTTATTTAGACCAACTTTTAATATCTCTGGTTCTACCTGTAGTTGTGCAGTGGCTAATTATAGGCTTTTGTGGTTATTATCTTTTTTTTTGGTCAATTTGACAATATATCAAATAGTAAAAATGTATTTAATTTAGAAAGGTTTTATATTTTTGTTATCATTTTGCTTTTTGTGTAATAACTTTTGAATGTTAAATTAATTTTCAAGCTTAATGTAGTATAATTACTTACTTCATTTAATGTAATGACTTCTTGGTTAGCCCCAGCTCCTGCTATTTTTGTTTTGTTTATGTTTCTGTCTAAATTTTGATTCAAACTCACCTCATACATACTGTACATAACCTCATAATTAGTGTTATGATTCCAAAAATACAAAATAGAGAAAAGTGTCAAATTGCAGCCTTGAGCTTCTTTTTATTTGCTTACATGCAAATTATATAAATAATCTGATTTCTATTTGATTCTTTTACATTCATATTAGAGAAAACACATATTTTCCCTGATAACAGATGCTGTGGTTACAGACAGTGCACACGCTGGGATCAAAAACAGTGATAGTCGGCAGCAATATTTAAAATAGCGCTTCATCATATTAATGGTCTGCCTTTTATCCTGTTCTCCTTAGGCCTTGCTTATTACCTGAAGGTATGTTTCACTGGAATCCCATCAGCATGAGTGACACGTCTTGGAGAATTAGCTTGAGGACAGAAAAGAGCAGAAAGGCTCCTGCAGGAGACGCAGACTCTCCTTTAATCAACAGGTAAAACCTTTCAGCTTCAACTACATTTACCCTGATTTCTTTTTTTAGTTACTGTTTTAAAACTTTCTGTGCATGGTTTGAAGATAAACATCTTCAACAAATTATTTTAAAATAATCTGGTCTTCATTTACATCTTCTTTCTGGCCTTCTGGATCATTTTGAAGGGAACAGTTTGTGAAGACTGTTGTGGTTTGTGAATTGAGTTTCAAACCTAAAGCTCGTAGGTAGAAGTTGAGGGTGCGATTCTGAATGTGGTCTGTGCGTACGCTTCACAAGTTGGACGTCAGTTAGAAGAGAAGTGAGGAATTTTGGAGCAAGCTAGATGAAGCGGTAGAGGTTGTACCCAGAGGGGAGAGGGTAGTGGTCAGAGTGGACTTTAATGGACACGTAGGTGAAGAGATGAGGAGGTTCCTGATTCTGGGAAAGATGGGAATACAGAAGGACAGATGATGATTGAAGAGAGAACAGAAATGGCTGTTGTTAATACTTACATAAGGATGAAGGAGGAACATGAGGTGACATGTAAGAGTGGAGGAAGATGCACACAGGTGGATTACATCATGTACAGGAAGTGCCATCTGAAAGAGGTAGGAGTGAAGGTCAGACTGTAAGGAGCAAAGATGGTAAGATGGTTGATGAGTTTGAAGACAGTCAAACAGTCAACCGTCCGTAGTGATGGACAGGGTCTTTTTGAATGTAGTGAAAGGGACATGATGATGTTTCATGTAACAGAAAAGGAGGCAGGGCTAAGGGTTAGTGGGAGGCAGATGATCAACAGTGGTGAGCCTTCGAGGGAGCAGCTAAAAGAAGAAGAGAGACGCGAAACTTGTACCTCTGCCAGTGAATCATTCAAATCCATTGTCACTTATGCCCCTTAAAAGTGACAGTTATAGAATGGTATACTCTAAGGAAACATTCTCAAGCAGCTGTATACTATAATGCTAGAAAAATAAATGAATTAAAAAATGTAAATTATGACATTTGTTAATGATAACGCTGTTCTCTTCTTTTGCTTTCGGCAATTTTGTCAATGTGCACTTCACCAAAACGTGATTTGAATAAAACTCTAAAAATCTCATATGGAAAGTGAAGCCCTTTGGGTAGATAAACTTTTCCAAATAAAAAAATAAAATGGTCATTAAAAGTGGGATAAATACTTTATATTGGGTTTTATTTTTTTAGATGTTTAGTAAACACAACAAAAGCTGCGACTTCACCTGCAGGCAGGATGTTTTTTTAGCCAGGATGTTTCACAGTCTGGCTGCTCTCAGCCCCGAAGCCCTCTGTCACTTTTTGTACCAGCCTCAGGGAATGGAATAACCAGAGTGAAGTCTGGGATTTCAGTCGCATCCTCAAGTAACCTGGCTCTGAGGCCAGCGTTAAAATCAATCCCTAAAGCAACAAGTATGCAGTGTAAGATATCCAAATTGAAAATGATGAGGTCATATTTTTTGTCCTGGTCAATAAAGAGGCGACAGAGTTCTGGATGAGATGCAGCTGAGTGAGGGATTTTTTTTCTTTTGCTGATACCGGTTGGCAGTTGATCACAGGTGTTCTAATGTGGAGTTGATAAATGCAGAAATAATGGGATTTAGATAGTTTAGAGTTTTTTTTCATCAATGAGAAGCAGGAAAGAGGAAATGTGGTTTTACTTTCTGAGGTTGTTTTCCATATTTGATTTGATGTGCAAAGTGGAAGAAATGTATTATTGTTGGCCCGAGAAAGCTGCAATGGCGTGTTTACTGATTTTTGCAAACACAGACATGGAAATTGACAGGCAGAGACAAGCCGATGCAGTCAGAAAATACTTTATTTCTACCACATGTAACCGGGGGTAATTTAAATGTTACTACGTGGATCTTTTTTCTTGAGGCAGGAATACCCAAAGTTTGGTATAATTTCCTCACCACACAGTGAGATGTGTCTGCCTCTGTCTTCTCAAGCTTTTGCTTTCATGACTAGATGTTTGTATTCTGGTTCCCAATCGTAGTTCTGGCCATCTCTAATTTAAAGTATCAGTCATTCTAATTGTTGGGTCATTAGGTGTTCATGTTTATTTGCATTTATAATAAAAGCAAAACTGCATTCACTTTGAATTTTCATTCAGGCATCAACTGCATCCAAATATAAGGCAGCAGCGACTCTGTCAAACGATGTTAACTACACTATGGTGACTTAGATGCTTTGAAGGACTTCTGAGAATTGGACAGTAAGCCAGTCTGACAAATCCTTTGATCTGCTGCTAAGACTGGAAATTCATCTGTTTGTTCTTTTCACCAAAGCCAGAGCCAAAGATTCAATCAAATGGTGCTGCATGTAGGATGTTGGGAATCCTGCCATCAAGTTGTTTTTGCTTTGTACAACGGCCAAGAATTGAGGCGGTGATGTCGTCTCTCTTATGCTTGCTCTAGAAAGCCAGTAGAGAAAGACAGAAAGACAGGAAAAAAATATTCACCTCATTGAGATCCTAATCATAAAGTAACCCTTAGTTCTGCTGGTGATCGATGTTTATGAAACCATAGTTTGTTAGTGCAGTGATTCCCAACCACTGCGCCGTGGCCAAGCACGTGGAGCTAAGTATAAATGTTTTCAGAAAAGCCAGGTCTGATTATAGTCTAATGGCTGTAAAACCATGAACACAAACCATGGTCTGGGGGGAAAAGGCCTTTGGCTTTTTGTATTACTCATCTTCAGTACCTCTGACCACCTTCTCCACACCTTGTCAAGGATAACAATGAGCTAAGGGAGCCTCTGGTGCTCTGGCAGAGGTCCGCTGTGATCTACATGTTGTTGTCAGTGTTGATGGGAATATTGTCAGTTTCACACCACTGAAAACCTTTACCAGCTCTCTGTAATCCTCCTCCTTATCATGCAGTGATGTAACCCCTGGTGGCAGTGGAGTTGGAAGTGAAGTCAAATTAGATGTCAGAGGTAAAGACGATGAACAAAAAAAAACTGACAAACTCATTCCCAGGTGGCTGGCAGTGCTCTATGTTAGCGCTGGCTTGGATCTTTTAAGTCTGACTTTACATCATAATAAAAAAGTCATACATTTAAAACCCCAGGTTTTACATCAGGAACAGTTTCTTAGTGAGCAGTCCTGGTTCCTGGTGGAGTTTTCTTTTTGTTTCTACGTTTTGGACTTTGGACTCATAATGGTTTATTTTGGTTTCCGTATCCTGGGGTGCAAATCCCCAGTGTTGATACTTAGGTGATAAAAGACGTGGGTTAGCAGAGAAGGCTCACTATTTAACGTTATCATAGAAGCTGTAAATTGCTAAGCACCCTTGCGTGTTAGCCTACACTCGATTTGATTGATTTGCTAATGACCAATCCCCTGCTACCTGTCAATGTGTTGTATTGTGATGACAGAAGCTTGTGATAAACTGCCAAAAAGGCTGGGCAGCAACTTGCTGATAAAACTAGCACAGTGGTTGAAATTGCTAGCTAAGCTGTTAGCTGTTACGTCGTGCACTTCAGAGCAGTAATTTTCTGGCCTCTGGACCATCTGTGGTCCATTGTGCAGAATGAGCTTCCTCTACTGCTGATAAATAATGGTACTACATCCACCAGTCAAGACTATTTTACTCAGACAGAGCCGCCACCAGCCCCTGAATTCCACTAATTTCTGCATTTCACTGGATCTTTAAAATGCAAATTACACTTGAATTACACAGACCAGTGTTTTCTCAGACGGATGCTGTTTTGTTTCTGTGTGAAGTTGAACAACCTGCAGATAATGTTGAGGACAGTCAGATAAAAGTCAACCTTTAATTAAAGAGAAGAAGAAGAAGAAGAGTGTGACTCAACATGCAGCTGCCTCTGGGAATCTGTGCTGCTTTTCTCTCATGTGTTTCACGCTTTTGTGTCTAATTTGTTTCGAGAAATATTTTGCATCATTAAATCTAACTTCTTTATTCCTTGATGGTCTCCAAAATATATCTTTACATAAATAAATAATAAATATGGCTGGTATTAAGTCAGAGACATCGGGCACTTATTCCTACAATAGACCAAGTCAAATCTGCCAAACGAGCAGCTTGTTGTTTCCACTGGTCAGTGTGTTTATATACAGTAGGAACAGCGACTGTTCTGTTGTACCTGTAAATCACTGTTGGTTGTTAGCAAGAAAGCAGTGACAGTCGTGCTACAATGTGGCTTTAATTAATGATCTTGTCTCTTCAAGACATGAGTCACGGTGTGCATGAGCACAACACTGTGAAGGTTGACATGTTTTCGGGACAAGTTGTCAACAATGACTTCATACACAGAGCTCTGGCCATTTGTGTTCAAAGACACAACATAGATTTGGTTTCTTTGGCAGTTGCCAGGCACTTAGGACAGAGACTCTCTCTCTCACTCTCTCCTTCTGTAATTAGAAACAGGATGAAGGGTGAAGGATGAAAAGAAGATCTTAAATTTAACCTTTATGTCACCCAGTTTAATTAGAAGTGTATTTCCAAAACATTTCATTCTCACTGCTGTTGTCAAGGTCGTCCTCATCCACACTGACATGCATTTGTTGCTTTTCATGCTCTGCAGTAATTACTTTGTTAATGTGGCACACATTTAGATTGGAGTATTTGATTAGGAGGATGGTTGAGGAACTGCATGGAAGTTTACATAACAATTGGAAAAAACATGATTTTTTTCCTCACCTTTATTTCACTAAAAACTAAACACTGTGCATTGTTATTTTACTTTTATTTAAACTCAATTTAAATGTTCTTTTTTAAAAAAATGTTAATGTCAGACTTCAAATTAGTTGGCATGCACTGGTAAAAGCTGCATATTACCAAACATGATAAGAAAGGTAAACTTGCCCCCTTATATTTAACATATTCTTTGCAAAATACTTTCCTCCATCCGCCAAGGTCTAGAGTTGGGAGTGCGGCTACATCCATTGGAGCTTTTAACCTTCAGCTACATATTTAAAAAACAGGAAGAATGATGAGGATACTGTCAGGATGGCATCCTGTATTTAAAAGTCTGTTCTAAGC